AAGCCCTTGTGACACCCCCCCCCTACACACCTTCCCACAAGTCTTGTAACTGTAACTGTGTGAGATGTTTGTAGTCAAGTAGGGGGGTCACAGTGTCTTGTAGCTAGACTAATGTATATCTGAAAATATCTCTATTCTGAGCAAATATCAATGTTTACATTTTTCTGGGTCCCAATTTTGTTACCTCACACTGATTCACATATTATAATATCTTAAAATGTGAATACCTGCTACTCTGAACACTTTTGACTGGTCCCACCAGTAGTGTTCAGATTAGACAGGTTTTACTGTAACTTGAGTCAAGACAAAATAGAATAATGCAGCATAGTAATTGTGCATAATTGTTCATCAATCATAGTACACTCCTTGCGAGGAGACCCAAAAAATGAAACTGCAGAATTTGATGATGCTCTCTGTATTAGACATGATCCACAGTGTTACTAAAACACACCCATTCATGATGCTCTCTTCTCCTCCTTGCATGTTCCAGATAAAAACTCCCTAAATATTGTAATTTTAGGCATATCTGGGATGACCTGAATTAACATTATACATCTCAGAAAATGCTTGAAGTAATCCTTATCTAGGATCAAATAAACAAAATCCTTGGGTGATGATTTGGTTCAAATTAATTATAGAATCATTGGTATGTCAGTCCAGACAAGAGCATGACCCATGCCTAAAACTTTCTCTAAGAATGCTTATTGTACTCAATTCTATCTAAAATATGCATCGTCCGCCACATTTTCTTGCATTTTTTAGATTTTGGCGTTTATTCATTTTATTCCTTGCTGATTCCACTCTGTACATAAATTATGAACTAGATTTCAGACAACGTGACACTTCATGTACCACTTGGACATACATATGTCTTTGATTTATTCCTAGCCTCTTTCTATATGCCTTTCAGTCTTTAATGAGATCTCAAAAAACAGATATTTATCATGTGGTGTAGATTTTATATAATAAGAATATGATAGAAAAATAATTATTCATTGATTGTTTTTAGTGAGAATAATAACATTGTTTCTATTAATATTCTTTGACTACACCTAAGTGCTTTGTTTAGTTTACAGGACTATATGTGCCTTTAATTCCACGGGTGCTGAATTTCACAGAATGAACATTCTGAGCATTTATCTGTGATTTCATTTAGCCCATTGTTCATAATGCCAAAATAATTTGTCACTGTGTTTAAATTTCACTGAAAATCATGTTCTGAAAATTAGCGAAATTAAAAACAAAGTGAATAATTCTACTTTTACAGTATTGATTATTCTTCACCACTTCAAGATTTCTTGAATGAAACTCAGGCTGCAGGTCAGCACGACCTTTAACTGTTATTCACGCATATATTACAGGATATGGAAAATGAGACAATTTATCATTAATTATTACAATTGTTTGACTATATGACTAACTGGCCATAGAGATTTCCTAAAAGCAATTATACAGGATATAATGCTAAAGTTTATTCAAAGCCAGAAAATCTGAGGAAATTTGGAAAATTGGCAATCTAGCTGTAGAAAAACACAAAGAACAAAGGAAATGAAAATCTTACACAAAATATGTAATATGACTCAGTATAATAAATAAAATTCTGAGATTAACCATCCCTCTCTCTTGTTACTTAATACATCTACTATACTGTGATATATTCTAACATTGTTTATTTTTTATTTTTGATATATTTTCTCTAAAATTCCAGTATCGTGGGTTCTTCTATAATTGATACACTGCGGCCCTGTTGAAAATGTTTGCATCAGGCCCGTAGCCAGGATTTGCCAAGGGGGGGGGGTCCAGTTTTCAAAAATTTCCAGGGGGGTTCACATTTGACAATTTTGGCCCCCTGTGGCTACGGGCCTGTGCATCTTGCCAAAATGGTGAAATATTGATTTTTGACCAAAACTGGTAAAATAAGGAAAACATTCATGAGGAGATCATTATTATGAGCAAAATACACAACACGTTCTGGGGCATATTGAATAGATCACCTTCCCTGCATGATTTTGAAATAATTTGTGGCTCTGGGGGGTTTACTTCAGGCTTGAAATGTGTCAATTACAGCCAATGTGATAATTGAAATCTAATAAGCAATACAGCAATAGTCATAATTCAATTCCATAATCCTCTAATCATATTAACGCTCAATCACATAATCAAACAATATAAACTTAGCCCTCTTGGAAATATACATACTGTAAATGCATGATCTTCCTTGAATAGTCACTTTGAAATTGTGGGTACATGTAGCTTGAATACCATTTTCATTGGTTTGATTTCACTACTTAAAAGAGAACTTCATTGTTACTACTACTAGCCTCTGGATTTAATTTGAACGGAGTGCAGAATGATTTATCAATTCCAAATGTCTAAATTTTATGTCATATTGTTCTCATTATTTTGGATTTCTCAACTGGGTCTTTGTATTCAGGAAGCATTGAAGCTATAGTAACGGTAGTACACTAATCTATATTTAACATGTAGGGTTCTAGATAGATAAGGAGTGCAGTCTCTAACTGCAGCAAGAACTAAATGAATAATTGCTAATTATGAATCAATATCAAAGGGCTCTTCATGGGGTACCTTCTCTTAAAATGTATCACACTGTCACACTGTTTTTGTTGATTACTGTTTTTCCAAATGGGTTACCAAACAAGTTTTTGATCTACCCCCCCCCTTACACCTTCCTTATATTCTATCAAAAAGACACAATTTAGACAAAATGCACTTATCAATGCACTCAGTTGTACTAATGGGAGAGGAACTAAAAACGAATATTCCTAATAAATTTAGTTTAATTCTAAAAGATCATGTGAATGCCCTATAAACTAAAAGCTGGCAGAGATAGACGATCCTTAACTTAGTGACTAAGAGAGAGTGGTAAGAAACTGTTTATGGGATTCTCTACAATCTCTCTTTCATTATTTGGAAAATGTTAAGTATGAAACCAATTTGGCTGATTCAACCTCTACTTGAAAGCAGGAAGATTGTTGCAAATGTTAGACATTTATCCGAATCTTGTGGTCAATGAGTCAGTATATAAACATCTGTATCTGCTATCAATACGCTACATTAAATTAGGAATGCTTGAGTCTCCAGTTTAGATTACCCTCACAATACTAGCTGTTTATTATACAGATTTCGCAGCAGAGAACCAATATTCACAATGAGTAGCATATATAGAATCCTATGGGTCAAAATAAGCTGAAATGTGACTCACACAGCTGTTTGATCCAAAACATGTCAATCAAAACACAGTGATGAAGGAAGATTCTCTCCCTGATAATCAGTGTTCATTACAAATCAGTTCCTAAAATTAAATCTTTCCCATACATTGACTGAAGGTTACAACAAGATCAACGCTATGCAGGTTAATGAATTAAGTTCCATAGAACAGAAAATGAAATAAGTCGATTTTCAAAAAAATAATTGAAAAGGGTGCAGTTCGTTTCCGGGTCAAAATATCGGAGATCTTACCTGTCTGCCTTCCATTGTATGTCGGTAATCGGTGTGTGGTTCAGTTGTTATCTCTCAATACAGTTATGAAGCCTTGAAAATCTATCCCGAACAATATATCAGTGAAAACGTTAATATTCAAAACTTCAAAATTTATTTTTACTCTGCCGCCATCTTTGTCCCAGCATGCATTAAAACGATTTTCGTCCAGTGTAAGACATCAATACCAATACTTTCCCCGGGATATTTAAAAAATAAATAAACTTCTAAATCAAAATGCCTGACTGACATGACAATGTTTCTCAAGCTCTCAAGTCTCAACAACAGTTTGCCATATATGTTTTCAATTTTGATGGATGATGCAGATTGTCAGAAATGTTATATATTGATGTTGAGAAACAATTTCTCCAAAAGTGAGGGCCCTTACCCATCTTGAAGTTGAAACATACACTGGTTCAAGAGTATGTAAATAACCAGTACAGAACCCTATAAAATAATTTAATTCAAATGGTATTCAATTTTCATTTGATGGATTGGAAGGAAGAATTTTTTCAACACCTTCATTGTGTCCAACTTAAATTTATAAACTTACCATGTGAGTCAAAGTATCAAAGTCTATTTGACATGTTTGATGTTGCAAATTGCACTTTATTGTGATTTTCTTCAATGGAATATCATAGGGGCAGAGACATAGGCCTAGTGAGTTATATCAATAGCCTGAAAAAAATTACATATTTTACTTATTTACAGGGTGTCTCAAAAATGTAACAAGACAAACATGGACTCTGTGAGTGATAAAGGAATATATTCTTGAAGTTTAGTCATATGACAATGTAATAATCATTATTATCTTAAAGATTCACTGATTAACTATGAATTATTTGAGAGACTGTTTTAGTACCATCGTCATTTTTCCATGTTGCATGGAGACAAACATGGAATAACTCTGTGTTTGATAAAGGAATATTCTTGAAATTTAGTCATCTGATAGTCAATTTGATTAAATCAATTACTGAAAGTTTCACCGGGTAATTTCATCTTGAGCATTAAATACATAAAATGTCAAAATTCTTCATTGAAGGTCAAATCAGAAATCTAGTCAGATTAAAATTTCTGATAACTTGTAGATGATTATGAAAAAAAAAATTGGTCGATTTGAAGCAAGTTGAAAAAATACCTTTTATTGACCTTGAAAAGGTCATTGTAGGTCAAATCTTACATATAAAGTCAGATTTGAACTTCCGAAAACTTGTAGACGATTTGGAGAAAATTGAAGTCAGTCTAAACAGTATTTGTTATGTTATTGAACGTTTTAAGAATTTGTTACAGATGCCAACCACCAACCACCAATCGCCAACCATTGATTGCCAACCGCCGATCATCACCACTAAAAAACGGAGACCATAACAATACGTCACCACTTTTTATGTGGTGACAAAATGAGACAAATATTTTTGGAGCAAATTATTTTATCATATTGTATTGTACATTGTAGACAATATTTTACATGTTCACAATAAATAACATTTTCAGAATCATAAATGCCACATATTCCAGTTGTCTATATGATATACATGTATTGCAAAAATCCAGATTGTGAAAAAATATAATTTTGAAGGGAGACATATAAATAAAACAAACTTAGAATGATATAAATGTTACCATGACACAAAGAAATTTCTTAATAATTATGACATCACAACTAAATAATCCTTTTCTACTGTGATGTCATACATGTATTCATAATCAAGGGTTCTAAAAATTTAATTATGATGTCACACAGCAAATAATACAAAGGTTGCTACAGGTTTAATGTTTTATAGCAACAAGACATGTGATGTCATACTACACAATAAAAATTACCTAGTAATAGAAACAATATTGTTTCTATGGTAAACACAAACAAAAGCAATGTTGCGATAAAATACTGAGAAATTCTTGAAAGTTGATCTACAACGACATAAATTACAAATATCTGAAGAAAAGATGGAAAAACAACCAACTTCAAGCCATAGGATTAGAAGTGCCATGAGCAAGATTGCTATTTGGAAATCCAAAGAAACAAGACAGCTATGGAGGCAAAACAATCGTATTGTTCCATACAATGATGCTGAAGATGATGAGAAAGTGGAGGAGGTCACAATGGTGATAGACCTGAATGAGATACATGTATATGAATGGCCAGAGATAGACTTTTCAAAATTTGGCAGAAATGGCTTTTACACAAAAGCTGACTGCACAATGGAAACTATCCTAAGGATGTCTCCACTTTATGACCCAAAGTTTTCTCAACCTCAACAGGAAAAAGACAAGCGTTCCTTTCTTCAAAGAGCTCTGCATAAAATGGAAAAGAGAGTAAGTATCAATGAGTATGTTGCAACTAAGAATATTCTTAAAACTGCAAGAAAATGCTCTCTATCAAAGAATAACATGCAGTACTGAATGATGCTAAAGCACAAAGGATAACATTTGACAAATAAAACAACAAACCTAAAAATGACATAAAAACTTGCAATGTAGAAAATTAAGCATATCGAATTTTGTTTCCAGGCAAGAGAGGCCAAATATGCAGTTTCTGCATTGACAAAGAAAACAGATAACCAGGACAAAAGTTCCCAGCAGAAAACAAAGGATGACTCTGGCTTTACCTCATTTTAAGAACAACTAACTTATTGACAAAACAGAGAGCTGATGAGACCTAGGTCTCCAAGTGTGGCAAAGAATATATGCCTTGCATCTGTGATGGGCCTATGGGCCTGTGATATGTGGACCTATGTAGCAATAATGCTAGAGACTGTGTGTGAATTGTGCTCAAGTGTTTTTGATTATGTTGTATTGTAAATAATAAATTGTAAATATGTTCTAATATACACAAAATCTTGCTGTTATATGAAAATAGAATATGTTAGAATCCTACTATATTTTAAATAGCACTGCATACAGTATGCCCTAATTTTATAGCAACAAGCCATGTGATGTCCTTTATCCTAGTCCTACCTTAACATATCAAGTTACATTATCCTACCACATGTTTATGCCCTATGGTGTCTGTATGAGATAATTGTAACTCAAATAAAATGAAATGAGGCAATCATATACAGGGTGGGCCAAAAAAAAGTTCACCCTTTTTCATTTTAATCTAATTTTCTTATTTTTGATGCAATGCCTCTAAAAATTGATATGTATATAGCTCAGACATTTCTGTACATGTTGTTAGGATTTGAGTGAAATTTATGCAACAGTGTTGTCATGACACCTAAAATATATTTATGGTGTGTCATGAAAAAAAACACAGAAATTCACTTCATTTACAAAATGGCGGATTTCAAAAAAAGGAGGGAAATTTGAAAAGAAGTTATCATGGTAAATATAATTTTTATGTCAGTTAATGCAAAATATTACAAAGTAGAGTGTTAATTAATAGTCAGAGTTGATGATAAACACCTCTTTAAACAATTAAGTACTCTTATAAACACCCGATACTACCATAGATGAGTTGGTCAACAAGTTACTGAAAATCCATGGTTTTATCCAATTTTCCTCATTTTTACGTTCACAATATTGATAATAATTTGATGGTTTTATGTAATACACTTATGATATAATTACAAATGAATAAGTTATTAAATTCTACATAATATAATTTGTACAAGATGCCATTTTAATTCTGTTCATGCTTTATGGTGTGGGGAAAAGGGGTACTCAGAGTTGGGAATACTAATACTGGTGATTTTATTCCAAGCTCAGAGTCATTGGGCACCCCTTAAGAGTTGAGTTCAAACTGGGATTAATGAAAATTACTATTTAGAAATGAACTGCAATTCTTTTTCAGTAACTGTCACAGGATATCATGCCTCCCCTATCAGATGAAGATAAGGCTATAATCAAAGTACTGAGAACAGAAAAGAAATATGGGGCAAAGAAAGTCTGTAAGATGTTTCCAAATAAAAATTGGAATGTTCGCACAGTTGCGAAACTCATTAGAAAAGTTGACATCACTGGCTCCACTAAGAGGAAGCTTGGAAGTGGGCGTCCCAGAACTGTTACAACAGCAGAAAACATAGAGACTGTAGCTGATTTAATATGTAGCCAAGAGGATAACCCAGGGAGTAGCATGTCTCCAAGAGAGATAGAAAAGAAAGCAGGCATATCCAGATCAACCGTTCGAAGAATTGCCAAAACTGAGTTAAAGATGAAAACATTTAAGCGCCAGCACCTTACTCTCTTAACAGACAACAATAGAAAGAAAAGACTGGATAATAGCAAGCGACTCCTGAGAACATTTTCCAAACGTATGGTAGATACAACCTGGTTCACAGACGAGAAGATGTTCACAGTTGATCCACCTAAAAATTCACAAAATGATCGGATTTACGCTGATGTTGAAACAAAGAAGCAAATACACCGAGAGCAACTTGTAAAGGAGAGGAGAAAGTTTACCTCAAAAATAATGGTATCTGCCGGCGTATCTAAATTGGGAAAAACTAGAGTAACATTTGTTCAACCTGGAGCCAAAATGAATTCTACATACTATATAGACAGAGTGCTAAAAAAGTCCTTATTAAAGGATATGAATCGCATCAATCCAAACTACATATTCCAACAAGATGGGGCTCCCTCGCACACATCTAAAGCGACAATGGAGTTCTTGCATGCCAATGCACCTGATTTTATCCCCCCTGACTTATGGCCCCCAAATAGCCCTGATCTCAATGTTATGGATTATTTTGTGTGGGGTGAACTAGAAAAACATGTTCATAGTGTTCCCATCCATTCAGTTCAAGAACTCCAACAAAGAATAACTTTATGTTGGGAACAATTATCACAACAATCAAGTAACGCGGCAATAAATAAATGGCGTCATAGACTAAAACTGGTTGTGCAGGAACAAGGAGGACATATTGAACATTTACTTTAAAAACAAAACAGCCAAAGACACACCTAATGTTATATATCGACCTTGTTTAGAAATGTCTCAGTTATCTACATATCAATTTTCTAAGGGATTGCATCAAAAATAAAAAAAATGAGATTAAAATGAAAAAGGGTGAACTTTTTTTTGGCCCACCCTGTAGTTCAATTCAATGATGCTAAGGATGAGGAGGAAGTGGAGGAGGTCACAATGGTGATAGACCTGAATGAGATACATGTATATGAATGGCCAGAGATAGACTTTTCAAAGTTTGGCAAAAACGGCTTCTACACAAAGGCCGATTGCACAATGGAAACTATCCTAAGGATGTCTCCAGTTTATGATCCAAAGTTTTCACAATCTCAACAGGAAAAACACAAGCGTTCTCTTCTTCAAAGAGCCCTGCAAAGAATGGAAAAGAGAGTAAGTATCAATGAGTATGTTGCAACTTAGAATATAAATTAATAATATACAAAAATGTATAAAAACCTCTCTATGAAAGAATGACAAGCAGTACATATAGCCTACTTACTTGAATGATGCTAAAGCACAAAGGATAACATTTGACAAACTAAATGAAAAACCTAAAAAATGACAAACAAAAACTTTGCAACGTAGAAAATGACATCAAACACACTAAATTTTGTTTCCAGGCAAGAGAGGCCAAATATGCTGTTTCTGCTGCATTGAGAAAGAAATCAGAGAAGTTGGAGAACCAAGACAAAGATTCCCAGCAGAAAACAAAGGATGACTCTGGCTTTATTTCATTTTAAACACAACTGACTTACAGACAAATCAGAGGGATGATAACCCTAGTTCTACAAGTGAGGTGGAGAATATATGACTTGCATCAACCTTGGGCCTGTGCCATGATGAGCTATGTAGCGACTAATGCTAGAGACCCTCTTTTACTCATTGTATATTTCAAAATATGTATTATGCTCAGGTGTAATTATATAAATAATGTTGTATGCATAAATTGTACATAATAAATTGTAAATGATATGTTCTATAATATACACCAAATCTTGCAGTTATTTGAAAATAGGAAGAAATATGTCGGCATCCAGGTATATTTTCAAAAATGCAACATATGCCCTAATATTTTGTTGTTTGAACTAGAAAGGAGAATGTGCTTAAAATAGATATTTTAAATATCTACTAAAGCTGCAACAGAAAAATTAAAAAAAAAATTCCCAGACTCTTGTCTATTGTTGGCTCTCTTCAAGGGGTGGCTTTTCCACATATTATTTTCTGACATTTCTATTGTCTTTACAATTTCTTTGAAAGCTGTTAGAATTTTGATCTCATATCTGGTAAATACAAAATACCACACCTGAAAGTTACATACATTTCAATAGATGAAAATGAACTTAAATAGCACAAGATGCTGCTGATCTCAAATATTAAAAGGTACAAAAGTTGTGTACATGTCTGCATGTGCAAGGGTTGTCCAAAAAGTTTTGATTTTGTACCTCTAATTTCATCAAATTTTATTTTTATGACTTCAAACATTTGCTTTCTTATTTGTAATTTTGCATGAATTACACACACTAGTGCTACACTTAAAATCCATATGCTCCTTGTATTAAATACACAGATAGATGGCACTTTGTGCACTACTTCACTGGTTGTGATTTGGAGTTTGATACACATTCATGTACACATAGTTCACAACTTAAGTTGAAAACATGACTGCCACAATTGTCATATTGCCTTCCAGTCCATTACCCAAAAGGCAACTAGTTTTTTAGGTTCTCATCGCCAAGAGTGAACAGTGATTGCCGTTGGCAGTCAGTTGTTGACATTGGCAGTCAGTGGTTGCCATTGGCAGTCAGTGGTTGCCATTGGCAGTCAGTGGTTGCCATTGGCAGTCAGTGGTTGCCGTTGGGAGTCAGGCAGCTGTGAGTTTCAAACATTGCATGTACAGTATTAGAAACACAATCTTCACTTGTTCACTCTTCAAATCTCTGTCTCTTGATGTGCACATGTTCTAGCTACAGCGCGACGAATTTTCATGTTCATCACAGCAAATCACTTCGCATTTGTAACTGCCTTTAACCTTTTACTTTTCAGTTTCAGAGGAATGTTCATTTTAAATTTAGTCCTGAAAACAAAATGTAAAACATTTTCAGTTCAGAAAAATGGAAAGAAAAACATAAATCAAATTTGAAGTTGAAGTAATGCAAAACAAATTGTCTATCACCTATTATCTTAAACTTGGTTCTCTACTATTTTTAAAAGGGTAAGGATACTTGTAAACAACATTTCTACAGAACTAATTATCTCAATAATCCAAATATTTAAGTTAACAAAAAAACAATGATGTACTTACTGGCATGTTGAGCAGATAGGAGTAAATTTGCAGAAGACTGAAAAACAATCAAAAAGAAATAAAGTCCTGTACAAAAAGTGGAAGCTACATCATAATAAAATCAACAAATCAAAGGACCAATCCAGTAAAATAATTCCATTTATTGGTTATGATGTCACACTTACAATTCGGTACAGATATAGATTTTAACGTATTGCTAATTTTCCAGGAATTTTGTTTAGATATATTGCTGCCTGCACTGTGCAGTATGACAACATAAATCTAGGTTATGTATCCTAATTTCTTTGGATCATAAATAGGAGTCAGAATTGATATGAAAGGTCTATTGTATTGAGATGTCCAAATTCAAAAAACTTGCCATTTGATCATTTTGATTCTACCTCTACTTGATTAACAGTGATATAAATAATGCAATGCAGAAACTGAAAATTACAAAGCATGTCACAAATAATTGTTGATACTTACTTGATAAACAAACTGAGCAAACGTAGCCAATGTCTATAAGTGTCCGGTGGCAGAAACATGCTGCTCTGTAATCAACCCTCTGTGCCTGGGGAAGACTTAACTGACTACGTACCCTGGGCTCTGGCAGGAAAACCCACTGTAAATATATTATAAATGCAAATCATGGCTTGTCCTATATGTGCAATATGGATGCTGAAGAGCCATTCCTTAATAGACAACCTGGTAGAGCTTTCACACAAATCAGAAGGTTGTGGGTTCAATTCCTGCTGGGGTCAAATGATTTTTTAAAATTCAGTCCTATATATAATGGTAGAAATTCAACATGATGTCATAAAATTGTCATAGTATTAAACGGCTACACTTAGAGGTCATGTCACACACTTATTTCGTGAAATATACTGAGTTCTCCTAATATACAATGACCTTGGGAGGCTATATATTTGGGCAAGAAAGAAGGCATATATCACGTCATAGTGACATAACTGATTTATTGCATACTTTTATTCCCATGGATACATGTACTTTGTATCAATGAAGTCACACATCTATTTGCTAGTAGAATTTGATCAAAATGAAACAGGATGTCATGATCTAGTCATGCTTAAAGAAATCTAATATCAAAATGAGGTAAGTGAGCTATATCAGGGAAATCCATCAGGCAAAATCGGTGGATCTGGTCCCCTAACTTTCCCAATGACTTCCATACAAATGCTTTGCTAGGTATGTAGTACTAGCCTGTATAGCTTTCTTACTTATCAATTGTTTCCATTACAATGGGACAGCTAGGTTTGTATACTCACCAATAAATACTGCAGTAATGCTCGTTGACTGGGCAGAGCAAGATAAACACCCCCTGTGATATCAGAAGCTTGTTGAAGCAAGCCTGAGTCATGTTCCAATACACAACTGTCTATGACAACACCCTGTATATAAAAAGTGTGTATGTTAATTAAAACAAGTACATGAAAATGTAACCACCTGGTTACAAAAGTGTAACAATGTTACAGATTCCTTGGTGGTGACAAAATGATTTCTGTAGAAAAAATGTTTAAAACATTAGGCAATGGCATTACAAAATGTCATAATTTTGTAACAAAGCATAACAACTAGTTACACATGTGTGGTGACATAAAATTGGATATTGTCATAATGTTACAATGTCATAAAAAATATTTAAACAAAGTACTGCATTGAAAAATTTATATGTATCAAAAACTGTTTTTTATTTCAATTCAAAGTTAGTGTTTTACTAAACCATGATTTATAATTTATATTAAAAGATGTCATTACCAGTTTTTGTGCTGTGAAGACTGTGTTCATAAAGCTGAGATATTGTCCTGGATTGTCCTCTGCCCCTTTAACCACCTAAAAAAACAAACATAAAGATCACCATATGCCTCTTTAAGCACCTAAAAACAAACATAAAGATCACCATATGCCCCTTTAACCATCTAAAAACAAACATAAAGATCACCATATGCCACTTTAACCACCTAAAAAACAAACATAAAGATCACCATATGCCCCTTTAACACCTAAAACCAAACATAAAGATCACCATATGCCCCTTTAACCACCTAAAAACACACAAATATCAGCACATGACTCTTTAGAACAAGGTATATATGAACATGCAAAATGTCACCACCTAACATTTGACAGAAGCTGAATGCCAAACACCAAATATCGAACAACAAATAAACAGAGTCCAGCCTATCGATAGATTTTCATAACAATCTTACACTTTGCATTTGTTTCGACGCGGTGGTTGTACCAGCGTCTTTATGGCTTCTGTTCCAGTTGAACTAATTAGACTACAAGGTGACTAGCGTTCTCAGTCGTACTTGAAATATTTTTGCCCATCTGTTTCACATAGATTTCTAGTAACACAAATAATGTCAGTCTTGCTTGATAAGTGATTATATAGTTTACCATTGTTTCATGGTATGGTGATTCTTCTAGTCTACACCTACAACCTTTGACTCGCTACTTTGAATAATGCAATCTCTTTGACGGATGTTTTTTAATTACGTAACTACATATACACTTATTATATAATCGTTAGGTAGTTAGTCAATTAGTTATGGTATAATCATTTATTTCAATTAGTACTTAGAAATATAATATCTAACATTATGTAATATCACCAAAAATTCTTGTTTGTTATTTGTTTATCAACATAATTGTTTTGGAATTGATATATTAATTCCAGTTAATTAAGTTGGAAAACACCATGGGAATTCCTCTCTCTTATCAATGTCTAATAATGACGTAGAGTCCCGTCGTGTGTTAGCCATTCAGTAAGCCTTTGTTGTCGAGGCAGCATGTTAATATTTATACAGATTTTGAACTCTGTCAGTTTGTCAAAAAATTTCCCAACCCTCCCACCCTATTGTTAGATTACTTATCCTTGCCAAGCTTGTTATCATTTTTGTTTGTATTTCAAATGGTTTATGGGGGTTTATTTATGCAATAATAAATTGTTACGATATTTATTGACTCTTGATTTTACGCACACTTATAACATTATTAGCTTTCCTGTTGCTAAGTGGTATTTTATGACAGCTTGTTTGTTTTCTTCATTTGTCACGATAATTACTCTAACTCATCATAGTTTACGTACAGGATGATTCAGATTCAAATTGAATTTATTTTCTGTTTCGATTGTTATTGTATTTATGCATTTTTGTCAGCTCATAAGCATTTACGCTCTTTAGCATTCATGTTATCGCACATGTTGTAAAACATTTTATTTGTAATTTTGTAATTATAATTTATGTGTTCATATTTTCTATATAGCGTGTGAAACCATCCGCCTGTAGCACATTTTTATGAATGTCTTTTAACATTGCCGAATGCCAATGTAAGAAGCATTTTACTACAATGTATTCTACTGGTTCAGTCACTGTTCTTGATTGTAAAACAGTGAATATATTCAATTTAGTGTAAGGCAAAGATAGTACAAGATATCATACAATAGAGGAGTTTCTAAATAGCTTTGAAATCTCGCTAATTCTCTTTTTTCATAAGATTTTAAGAGATTTGCACTTTTTACCTCTAATGACATACTTTTCTTTATTTTTGATAGCATATTTGAACTCAGTGACAAGTTTTCTTCAATAACAGCTTTGATTTACACAGTTATGTCATTTAAATCATTACATTGGTGCAATGCTAAAATTCATTAAGACCTTGGCTTATTCATATGACAACCAACATTTTTATGTTAAATTACAATATGTACATTGACAAGGTCATCCAATAGTATGACATTCAAGTTTCAGACAGATTCAACCAACACTTTTTGATAAATCATGAAATTAAGTGACTATTGCAAGTTTCTAGCATTGAAGTGAATGGAGGTCTGGCCCGAGAAAATCAAAGACAAACAAGGGTGACATCTATTATGTCAGCGTTATTCAGCTATTTAGAAACTATACAATTCGCCCAAGTCCAAAAGTAGCACAAAACAAAAAAAACAAAAATCGCTACCTTATAGCGGGACACTGATGAATACATGTGTCATGTGAAACAGGGACTCCACTTCAAGAATGGAATTAAAAGAAAAACTGAACATCCTTTTGATAGTGTTTAAAAATTGATAAGTAATTGTACCAGATAAAAAAAACTAGGTTGCATATTGATATTTTGAAGTATTACTTATTTACGAGTATTTGAATGCCAACATCCAGGGTTCAATTGATTCAAAAGAAGGGATAAATAATTTAAATTAGGAACAGGAAATCGACATTCCTTGTCATGAATTTGCCAGTATTTGTTCTCATTTCTTCCCCACCCTGGCCTTAATGAGCGCACGAGTATTGATATGGCATCGACACCCTATTTCTCTATTTCAGTCTTCTTAGCCAAATCATTAGATGTATGCAATCAATGATAGAGTAAATACATTGAAAAAAACATTGGGTGGGTACCAATATGCGAGCGGCTAGGTTATCGCTACCAGTCTTTTCCCGTTCCATTCGTTGCACATCTGATAAGATTTAAAGATTTATAACTATTAACTTGAAAGCCCCCTTATCCGGGACTTTGGAATTTTGTTCACAAGAAATGAAATAGAATAAAAATGAACATACTTTTGATAGAGTGCTTAAAGGGACTCATACAATTAGCTACGTTGACCAAAGTGTTTACATTTTCGGATTAGAAGGGTTTATTTGTTTTTAAGGGGTGTTTGCATTGAAGATTTCGTGCAGTACAAAATAATTCTCAGTTTTCCTTATAATGCTTGCGCTGCCCCGTTGTTTTCGTATTCCAAAATAACCAATATAATCACTATTGATAGGTGGATTTTTTGTTGAATACCTTATTATGTTATTCTAGAGGTATTAAACTATGTATTGAACTGAATGGGAATGTATGTATTTTTACAAACCATTATGTATATGGACACTCTCTTACAATATGGTCTGTGAACATTGCTACCTTGAAATGTGTGGGGCAGATATCGGTCGTTCCCAGGCTTGGTTTGGACAAGGAAATAACCCATCAGATAGGAATCGCATCAAGAGAAAAAAGCTATATAAACGTTTCTGGTCATTGATGGAAAACCTAGGAGCATGGCGAAGACCAGAATACGTCGCGAAGAAAAGGGCGATGACACCTGGACACAGGAATCATCCGAATGTAATTTTCCTAAGACAGATAATGCCTGATTGCATTACAAAGGTACATCGACTTTTCGGATTATCATCTTTGGAAAATTCACATAATTTACACTGTTAAAATAGATGTGTTACGACAGATTTATACATTTATGTGTCTCTCAGATCATCGGCAAATGGACGTTCATCATTTTGGTACTGGTTAGAGGGCCGCACATACACGTAACATGTAATAGAGGTATTTATTTTCCAGTTGGTGAGGACGAGCTACCCAAATGTGGAGGGGGTGCCATATCAAGGTCACAAATGGCAGTGAAGAACTGGGGATGCATATACAATATAAATAAACATTGACAAATCTATAATTATTTATTTCTATTCAATTCAGAAAAGGTTTTGTTCATATTGTGAATAAAATATTGAAGTTGTATTACCAAAAATAAACATAAGACTCTGCTATTGTGCCTGTGAAACATATAACACTGCATACAATTTTTGAATGTATTTCTGGGTACATAATATTGTATTTTTGTAATCTAAACCAGATACAAAGTACCCAGTCAAACGAACATATATATCACAGTTAATAAAAAACATTTTTATCTATGTTCAACCTATTTATATATTTTCTCTGGACGTTTATTTACGAATAAAAACAATTTATCTATGCTTCCAGGTAACTAATCCAAATCTTTTCCAAATACTGAAATGCTTTCTTTGATTGATATTTTCGCCCACTGTTTTCTCTTGGAGTTCCCTCGTTTTGAGGAACAACCGCTCTCTTGAATGGTCGATTAACATTTTCATTCCAATGCAAAATAAATAAATCAACCCTGACTTGAAATGACGTATCACCAAAGGAATGCCTTTTGGGCAGAAAAGAACGCAAAGCATTGTTTGCCGCTTCAACGTAACTTGTGCTAAGTCCTTCTAGTACGAGATGCGGTTTTTGTATATTGAAGTGTCATGGACAAATTTCGATAAGAGGTCGATTGCAATTGGATCAGTAAGGAGCACACGAGATGGGGCATATCTTGGGTTTCTTACACAATGGCTCGTAAGCCTGCAACTTTCGTGGTAACCTTGGTAATGTGACACGATCGCATCTAGACTGTCTCGTAGTAGAGTCTCATCATTTCCTGAGTGCATGATGGAGTACCATATGTGATTTTTAATTCCATCATATTTATCAAATAGCTGACCATACCAACATATATTTTCAGTTTTCTTTGTCCCTTTCGAAATTTTTTTGAAAGATGACATAACATTTTTAATCACATGCCAAACGTCTTTTTGTTCCTTTACTTCTGGAAAATCGTCTTTTACGACCTTGCTCACGCTATTGTTAGAATCGTGCACGATGCAACGAACTTTAATTCCTTCCTGTTTGAAATCATTTAGAATTTCCTTTGTTGCAATCGTTTCATGTCGTTGGACAGAACTGTCATCGTGATTTGTTGATTTCACCTTATCTGCCAATACAGTATGCGTTTCGTTGCAAAGGCCAAATGTTATACTCCTCTTGGCATTGCGGAATGCAGAAAAACACGCATCGGTTTCCATTGTTATCCCAGACGCCCCACTGTCTGCTAAACTATTTTGTATCGCTCTTTCTTTAGACGCTTTGGCTTCGTTGGATATAATCGTAGATAAACGATTGCATGTTTCATAATAAACACGCTCGTTCGTGCTTCCTAATGTAGTAGCATTTAAAAATCTGGTGAATGGAGTATACATAAGTCCACTACAAACTACACCACAAGCCATTTTCTCGTTCACGAAAAATTTTGACCAACCTTCGATATAAGGCGATGACTTCCATAAAAATGTGTGCTTGCCATTTGAAATTGTGAATGTGGCCACAAAGTTCGCAAAATCGTCCAATCTAGTAACGATGACAGTTCTACTAAAATGGCAGCGTTGACCCAGGCTGTACACGGCACCAACGAGCGAATTGATGGACGACTCACACGTAACAAATAAGCGTTCACATTTACTTTGTTCCTTGGTAATGTTAACAAAACTGTTGTAGTGGAAATTGGCATCAGGAACAGCTTCATTACCAGTATCTGTGCATTTTACAGCCAGGGATAAGAAATAGTACATAACTTGCACAATCGTAGACAAATCTGGACGCTTTTTGCGGAAGCCATTCCATTGCTCGTTGAAGTTGTCTTTCTCCTCCTTACTGTTGAATGAGAGTTCGATAAACTTCTTGAACTTTTTATTCTTTGCAGCCATACTGAAAAGAAACATATAATAACATATAGTTTAGATAATATTTACAGCGAGAACAAACAACAGCAATTGTGATTGTTTTCCTCTTATATCACGGGGTGCCAACTATGACGTAAAACGACCTACCCGATGTTCGAAAATCTAGGATTGTGAGTCTCATACTGCCCGATTTTCTTCAAATTTGTTTTATACAAAGCACAACAAAAATGCCTTTCTGTTGGTACATTATTTTGTTATACAGAGTCTCTCGTTTTAGCGACGTCTTGGTCCCCAGCTTTGAGAAGCGTTTCTCTCAGCTGGGGATCAAAATGCCGCAAAAACGAGAGACTCTGTACAATAAGACAATGTATCGGCAGAAAGGCATTTTTGTTTTGCTTTGTATAAAACAAGTTTGAAGAAAATCGGTGCAGTATGAGACTCACAATCCTTGATTTTCGAACATCGGGTAGGTCTAAAATTCAAATCGTTTTACGTCATAGTTGGCACCCCGTGTATATATTGATGCTTCTCTCAGACATGTTTTTTCGCTTTGCTCATTCGTAATAAAATGGATATCACTCAAAATGATCATACAATATTGCATTTTGGTCCTTCAATCGTATTCCTAGCTTATTTATAGGTTTCACTGAGTCACAAAAAGTAATTTGATATGACCCATCCCAGGGACAGATCCAGAAATCAAAAAGGGAGAGGGGGCAATACAACTTAGCATCCCTAAATGCCCTATAAATACCTAGAAATGCCCAATAATTGTGGCCCTAAAGCACTTTAGAGCTCAACATTTTTTAACTCATCTTAGGGGGGGGGGCGGCCCTTGCCCAGATCCGCCATTACACCATTTGATCTCAATGAAAGAATGCTGAGGAGTGAACCGAGCAAAACATAAATCAGTATATGCAAATCATTTTCAAGAATTATACTCGGATCCTCAACTAACCTTTAGATATCAGAAACGTGTTAAAACTCCTTTCAAATGTATAGTAAATTAAATAATATGCACATATTTTACAGGTAAAATCAGAACTTTGCTACTGTTTTAGCTTGATCTGGACAACTGCTTATTTTCTTATCTACAGACCAACAGTAGATACAGAGTAATATTTTGGTCACCGATTAGACACTACGATAGCATTTAAAATACCTGGATTTCTCTATTTTGTCGGAAGAAGCAGAAGGCACTGCCGGATGTCCCTCCATTTTGGCGCTGGGCTGCGGTGTAAAGTTACGCGAGTCGCAGTCCGTGGCTTCGCCTTCGTTTTGCTTATCCCCCGTGATATGTAAACAACAGATAATAAGAGAATAATCAACAAATTTAAAACATTTAGATATCTTGAGCAGTTGTACAGTTCGCCACTCTGCAATACATATTGTACATATGCCAAGGATCAGTAAGTCGTACACATGTACTTATCATTACGTGTGCAATCATCCACAACACGTTGATATTTTATATATCGGCCTGATAAATAATGCAGTGGAAGTTTTCTATGTTTATCCAAAATATATACCCAACACTATATCAATACATATAAATATACCTTACGAGTTACATCTTGAATAATTATTTGCAATATAAAATATAGTACTTACCTAGATTTGTAAACATGCGAATTTATGTTTAGCACACTGTTTCGACCGTCCTCTCACACCTATCTGAACCAAACTTTGGTTGGCCCTATTTATAGTCCCCGAGTACGGACAATCGCGCACTCTATATAGATTACCACACACTTTAAAAATGTATTTGTTTGACCCAGATAAAAACAAAGTGGCATATTGATATTTTGAACTATTGTACTTATTAATGAGTACTTGAATGCCAATATCCAGAGATAATCTTGGTGGTGGTGTCTCCTCACCACTTGTCAAATTTGAACCCATCTAGAATATTTTAAAAACTGACCAAACCTCCCCCCCTCCTTTGATCAAAGCTGGCTATGGGCCTGAGACCAACTATAAATCTGGGGGTTTTCGACAGTATATATTTGTCAACATTGTTTCTTAAAACAAGGCTCCCTTCAGTTAAAAGGATACAGCAAAGAGCAGTCGCCATGGCACCTGCCATCACAGCACTGTTGTCATGGATACCAGCTGTATCTGAAACATCAAAAAACAACATATAGAAAGACATAACTAATATGACAGGTGTACTCTTAGACGTTTACTTTGCCTGTGTTCTGTAACCACTTTAGGCCCTTTTTCTTTTGCACTTATTCATACATATATACATGTATTATTATTAAGAACATGACAAAATATCACAGGCAAAATTATTTGAACATTGAATATCAAGACATATACACCTCTTTTAAAGGCCCACTATACTTAATTTTGAAGAAAAAAGAAAGAAATAATCATTGAAACATGTAACTCACATACTTGCTCAAATATGACACAAAGTTTGATTTGCTTTAATATTGAACCAAGAAAAAAATAATGCATATAGAAAAAAGCATTTGAAGTTCACAAAATGTTAGTAGTGCATGCACATGCTAAACAAAGTCCATGTTTTAAATTACTTTTGATTTAAAAGATGGCGACACTTCTATAATGAGCCAAAAATGAGTGTATCATGTAATACAAGCAACTTCGTCATCTTTCAATGACATTGATAAAAACTTGAAACATAAAGCTTGACAGATCGAAAATATTTTTTGATTAATCATTGTAAGCTTTGATGTGGTCCATTTGAGCAGTTGTTGGTGTGAAATGAAAGATAAAGTTCTTATCAATACATTGGACTTTCTAAAAAATTAAAATAAAAGCCTTTAATTTGCCCAAAAACATTGAAAATATGCAAAGTGGGCCTTTAACATTGGTTCAAATATTGCTGCACTATGGATTCTTTATATTCCGGAGTCATGCCACTGACTATTGAATAATTTTGCATTTATGGGAAAATCAATGTGTCTCATTAGCTAAAAGGGTGAAGCATAGTTCTGGAAATTATATTGAATACACAGGAGAATGTAATATTTCCTTTCGTTTTGTCCTTTCTTTTTTATAAAATGTCCTTTTATCTTTGAAACAATCTAGAGCTTTGATACCCTGCCTGCAGAGTCTAGGTATTTTCTGCCTAGTATTATCATATTACTATATTATTAGAGTTTAGTAGCCCCGCCCCCACAACTGGTGCCCGAGACAGGAAATTACCATATCTAGAATGTTTGCCATATTTTCGAAAACAAACTCTGAAAGGCCCTATAGATGCTTAGATTCAACGTTACAAAAAAGCACATTTTCAGTTATATGAAAATCAATGGTTCCCAAAACAACTAGCCTGATAGAAGTCGATTACAAATATTGATTTTTATACTAATTGTGGGGGGTGTTAAGTAAAATATGGTTTACCAGACTCAAGGGAAAAATTCAATATCATACATTAGCTGTTGGAGACTTCATCTAGGCTCTCACCAGGGAATTTATAAGAAATACGAGACAAAGACTAGAGAACTCAGAGACTGAAATTATGTAATAAATAATTCTTTTGATAAGAAAAAATAAGCCAGATTATCTCCTTGTTGGACAAAGGATTTTGTAAATTAATTCCTGATATCGTCATATTTTACTTGAAAAATAAACCAAGTATCTTGGATTACCAATGTATGAAGTTTTCAAGGTATGGAGTTTTCATGATTGAAAATCAAATTGTGAGAAAGTAAAGCAAGGCATAGCAGAGACATTCTGATTCATCAGTTTCTCTTTATCTAAAGCTTGTTAATTCAAAGAGATAATACCGGCTTTGGATTCCGCAATGGGGCAGAGTTAACAAGGGAAATCAATCCATGTGAAGGACGCATTAATAATTAAATAACATGTAATATAATCCAATGTATTCTACAGAAAATGAAACTCAGAGGTTAGATCTGAAAATCTTTTTGACTGGGCCAATAAACTATATACACAGGATATTCCGCTGAATTACATTACCATAGTGCTAGAATCACTGGATTACTTCAAAATTGGGCTGAATGAGGCTTTAATAATTTATGACCATCTACAATCAAACAAATCGTTAACTGACGTTGATAATTCTGCTGTGGCAAGAATGTAATGTAGCATTGAATATTGATGGCTTCATCTCTACAGAGAATCAAGCCTGCATTGAGAAAACACCAATTGTTGTTATAAGAGTATGAATAAATAATTATCAGAATACTAACACACCAGCTAATATAAAAATCAGGATACTATGGGCCAGCTAATATAAATATCGGGATACTATGGGGCAGCTAATATAAATATCAGGATACTATGGAGCAGCTAATATAAATATCAGGATACTATGGGCCAGCTAATATAAATATCAGGATACTACGGACCAGCTAATATAAATATCAGGATACAATGGGCCAGCTAATATAAATATTGGGATACTATGGGGCAGCTAATATAAATATCAGGATACTATGGAGCAGCTAATATAAATATCAGGATACTATGGGCCAGCTAATATAAATATCAGGATACTATGGACCAGCTAATATAAATATCAGGATACTATGGGGGCAGCTAATATAAATATCAGGATACTATGGGCCAGCTAATATAAATATCAGGATACTATGGCCCAGCTAATATAAATATTAGGATACTATGGCCCAGCTAATATAAATATCGGGATATTATGGGCCAGCATATATAAATATCAGGATACTATGGGCCAGCTAATATAAATATCAGGATACTATGGAGCAGCTAATATAAATATCAGGATACTATGGGCCAGCTTATATAAATATCAGGATACTATGGGCCAGCTAATATAAATATCGGGATACTATGAGGCAGCTTATATAAATATCGGGATACTATGAGGCAGCTACTATAAATATCAGGATACTATGGAGCAGCTAATATAAATATCAGGATACTATGGAGCAGCTAATATAAATATCAGGATACTATGGGCCAGCTAATATAAATATCAGGATACTATGGAGCAGCTAATATAAATATCAGGATACTATGGAGCAGCTAATATAAATAGCAGGATACTATGCACCAGCTAATATAAATATCAGGATACTATGGGCCAGCTAATATAAATATCAGGATACTATGGGCCAGCTAATATAAATATCAGGATACTATGGGCCAGCTAATATAAATATCAGGATACTATGGGCCAGCTAATATAAATATCAGGATACTATGGAGCAGCTGATATAAATATCAAGATACTATGGGCCAGCTAACATATGTATCAGGACACTATTGAGCAGCTAATATAAATATCAGGATACTATGGGGCAGCTAATACAATTATCAGGAGAATATGGGCCAGGATACTATCAAGGACCAGTTAATAAAAAAATATCAGGAACTTTGGCAGCTAATAGAAATATCAGGATCAGAGAATATTAATATTAAAATTCAATTGACTACCTGTATGTAGAATCACCTTATATTCAAATATAGAGAAAGATAATGCACGTTGTATGTCTATATTTGTATTACATTTTTCACAGTACAATATGATATTGTTGATCAACAAATGTAAATAATTGAATAAGGGCTATAATGTGATATAATGCAAACAGATGAAACAAAAAGCTATAATTCTAAATAAAAAACGATGAGTACTGTACCTATAGCTATATAATTGATCAATCAGAAGACAAAAACGGACAAGCTACAAACCAATGGTCTTTATGTTTAATAAAAAAACAGTATTGTAGTGCACCAATAGCTCAAGAACTGATCAATACAGACAAAAAGAGCTAAGCAACAAAAAAATAAGTTATTGACACTGGAATCAAAGTGAAAGAATGCTCAATACATTTATTGACTCTGACTGGTGTGTTTCATCAACATGAAATGAAAAGTAAAATGACGAATCTAACCAAGTAGGAGAATCAGCAAAAGGTGATGAAAATATATTGTAACTGTATTGGCGACACAATTACTAAATGGTAACTTTAGGATTACAACACAAGGATTAATGAATGGAAGAAGGTACAATATGATAATATGACATAAATGATAACTGGTGATCACAAATATATATGTAGCAGACTAACTCGTACAGCTGATGGATTAAATATGCCTAAATCCATAAAATTCTTAGTAAAACTTTATGTAGTAACATGCATTTTTATTTCTGCTGTATTATTTTCACTGGAACTTTCATTTACTTGTAAACATACACATTCAATCAATATGCCATTACATTGTGGTATTCTCTCTTTGAACAGAACACGTGACGTGTCTAATTCTACAAGAGTGTTTCAGAGCAAAAATATATTTGACATTATCTCTTCAAACAGAACACATGACGTGTCTAATGATGCAGGAGTGTTTCAAAGCAAAAATTTATCGGAAATACGACTCACACCTCCGAGAAAAATAACTATGGAAGATGTTATGTCACAGAGGAAGAGCCGTGTTGATGCTATTTGTGATAAAAAACATCCGAAAGACAATTATTTGAGATACACACCCCCACGGTCACATTTCATTGTGGTAGATCAGAAATACAAGGTTGTGTATTGTATGGTACCAAAAATTGCATCGACAAGTTGGACAAAAATGTTCCTTGCCCAACATGAGCGAAAAACGTATGATAAAATATCTTGGAAATATTGGCTTAGTCATTGGCGGACGCATATGAAAGATCTGAATATATTCTCAAAAGTCCAGAGAAAGACGATTCTAACGACGTATAAAAAGTTTCTTTTTATAAGGGATCCCTTGGATCGAATACGAAGTGCATTTAATAATAAATTTACAAGAGCTGGGATGTCAAACGAACCAGAATTAAAAGCCTATGGTCAACGATACGGAAAACGAATCATTCAACGATTTCGGAAAAATCCAGATAAACAATCTTCCAGAACAGGTCTTGGTGTTAAGTTCCCCGAATTCATACAATACATCACATCAAATGGATTGTATAAAGCAGACGAACATTGGAACTCTATTTATAATCTCTGCCAGCCATGCCATATACGCTACGACTATATAGGGAATTTTTACAATGTGGTTGAGGAGAGTAAATTCGTAATGGATCATATCGGGTTAAAAAATATCACATATCCTTCTGAAAATATTCTCCAGGTGAAGAAATCTAGCCAAAGTGCCAACGTCAATATGATCAAAAAGTTTTATGAAAGCATTCCTCAGGCACAAAAACATCTTCTTTGGGATATGTATAAAAATGATAATGAATTATACGGAGACTTGTTTAATTTTATTAAACTTTAGTAGAAAATTGACTATTTTGAAATATTTTTAAAATCATTGTGCAAAAATATTTGGATACAATTTAAATATTCAGAAATTATAATGAGACAATTACATGAATATCATATATTCATATATATTATTTATATTATATATAAGGTTTTATTTCATAGAATTTACGACATAAATTATGTTAATTTGTGGCTTTTATGTTTGATGATTTATTTTAATCAAAACACTTTATTTCAATGATTATTACATCATAGATGTTAGTTTAAATATTCTTAACATAACATGTGTTTTGAGTTGTATAAACAATGATCTTGAATAAATTAATAGAAATACATTGAAAGAAAAATTTCTTGTAGTTCAATATGTAACCTACAGGGTGTCTGGAAAGTAAAGATACAAATGCTCTAATTTCAATCGATTTACCTGTTGTGAGATGAAATTGCTACAGATTGTAGAATGACATTGTAACAATTTATTCTGCAACTGTCATGACAAACTATTTCAAAATGAAAAAGTTATAATTGTTATGGTAACAGGAGACGTGAGTATGTGGAGCAGCGTCACAATTGTGTTTTATGTGTATGTGTCAGTAAACCCAGTCTTATCCAATCACCACAAGGACCATGCGGCCAAAGGTGCTCAGATTGGAAGGTGTTCATATTATAAATGAGTCAATGGGAGATAATGGGACTAAGAAAAAGAGGTCACATTGAGAGATGTTTGCATTCATTCAACTGCACTTCTAAAAGAGAGCTTCATCTTCACTCTTTCAGTTTACAATAAATCTCTGATCTTACCGAGCCAATCAGAGTTTGTCGTCGAAATACGGACGACTTTCCTCTGATATCACCGCATATTTAATTAGCATGTATTTAGCATGAGTTCCTTCCACTTCGCTGATTGGTTGAGAGGGGTCAGCGTGATAATTTCGAAATGATTTATTACTCGGGCTGTCACAGGCACCAATCTTTGGGGCGGGGCTGATAAACTGTAATATAGTCTATAATAGGCAGAGGGTAGTTTATAACTAGACTCTGCGCGCAGGGTATGTTCAGATAAGAGAAGTGTTTGGTTAACATGTTTCTCCATAGTTATTTTCTTAAATCTATATCAGTTACTCATGTTATTACATGTTACGAAAGCTCGGCATTGAATTGTCCTATCTCCCATTTTTAAGGTGTTCAAAGATTGGCTTATAAAATTCATGAATTCTGTATATACACAAATTTTTGATAAAAAGAACGTAAAAATTGCACAAATGACAGACAGTATTGAAGTTACAGATACCTAAACTTGATTTCTCAGTTTCACAAAAGTGTGAGTTGGGACATTTTTATTCTCATAGGGCGACATAAGCTTTTCAAACAACTTTTCAAATCATCCAACATAACTATCTAAGAACAGTTAAAGTAACTTTCTATGATTTCATCTAAAAATTAAAACCTTTGGAAATACTAAATATGGTTTAGGTGCCATATATGAAAATTTATTTTAGAAATATTGTGGATCAAAATGAAAAAAAAAAAAAAATAAAGAATAAAAACATATTCCACTGGAGGGATTTGAACCCAGATCTTTTGGAATAAAAGTCTGTTTGTATGGCTGGCCATCTGGACCAATGTATCGTCATACTTTTAACGCCGTAAAATCTACATTTAACGCCGTAAAAACGATTTTATACGCCGTAAAGAATTACTTTTACGCCGTTAAAAACGATTTTTTACGCCGTTTAAATTCATTTTGAACGGCGTCAAAAATAATTTTTAACGCCGTAAAAACGATTGTATACGCCGTAAAGAATTACTTTATACGCCGTTAAAAACGATTTTGTACGCCGTCAAAACCGATTTTTACGCCGTTAGAAATTATTTTTTACGCCGTTAGAAATTATTTTTTACGCCGTTAAAAATCTTTTTTACGCCGTTAAAAATTATTTTTTACGCCGTTAAAAATTAATTTTTACGCCGTTAAAAATCACTTTTTACGCCGTTAAAAATTATTTTTTACGCCGTCAAAACTGATTTTTACGCCTTTCGAAATTGCGAACGTACAGAACATTGTTAATCATTTGCGAAAAAATGTTTAAACAATGAAAACTCGATGTATATCAAATTCCCGAGATTTCCATACAACCAAATGCGTCTGACAAATAAAAATTCCAATATAAATGATAAATGTGACATGTACAGTGACAGAAAAATAGGGTTTTGGATTTATATCAATCAGTCGGTAAGTCGAACATACACGTTCGTTTGTTCAATGAATACTAGATTGTAACGCTGGTTTTAATTGGCTGCCAGCTATACTTTTTAACGGCGTACAAAATCGTTTTTAACGGCGTAAAAAGTAATTCTTTACGGCGTATAAAATCGTTTTTACGGCATTAAAAATTATTTTTGACGCCGTTCAAAATGAATTTTTACGCGTACATTATTATTTTTGACGCCGTAAAAAAATCAATTTTGACGCCATACAAAATCGTTTTTAACAGCGTTAAAAGTAATTCTTTACGGCGTATAAAATCGTTTTTACGGCGTTAAAAGTATGACGATACATTGGTCCAGATGGCCAGCCATATGTTTGAGCCCAAAGCTCTAACCACTACACCAAACTGCCAAAGCTTCCTGAAGGAAGAAATTCTTTATCTATATAATCATGGACGAAAAAAGTCTTATTTACATGCTTAAATTTCTTAAAAATGATCAGCATTACTACTAATAATAACATTCTGCATGTCTGAGTAAGTATTTTGATCTACATTTAGGATAAAGGTTGTTTAATTCAGTTTTCATTTTGGGTATGACTTCCTGTCAAAACAGTGCTAAAAATGCAGGGCTCAACAAAAATTTTCAATTAGAAAATGATATATATCCTTTGATCAGCTGTTTTTGGCACCTGGACTCATCCTACTAGAAAGGTAAGAGCATTTTCTTGAGACATATGGCTCGAAATCTCACATTTCTCCTTCTAAGTCTTAGAAAGACACTTTAACAACAAAAAGGGAATAGAAAGTCATTAGGCCTCTCCCCACCCTCCATATATATTTCTTAATACAAAGGGGGGGGGATGTTAAAGTCTAGGAATGTTTCCTAAGAATTATAAAGAGTGTATGTCCCCCATTGTATTTCAAAACCAAGAAAATAGAATACATGTATTTGGGGGGGAGTTTGTGATCCCCATTATATATTCAACAACCCAGAATAACACGAATAAGGTATGTTAGCAATGGGAGGGGGTTGATGCAGGACCAAGGTCAATATTTTATGGCTACCTACTTGATGAAAGTTGTTTAAAGGAGTCTTTGATGGTTTCGGAAACTTCTTGGAATTTTCCATATTGCCCACTGTCTCCTTCAGCTTGCCTATCTGTATTATCACTTTCATCTATTCCATTATATAGGTAGTGTCTACAAGTAAACAAGCACATGTTGTGATAGATCATGAATGAGGCAATTCTGTATACAGAAAAATTTAAACAGGCATAAGTTTAGAATTTTAAGTATTTTTGATAATATACGAGGGTATATCATAAAGTTCCTTGATTTCCGGTTAATATGGCAACCATTTCTTAAATAATATTTCTGTTATACCAAATATTTTTTGATAGATTAAGACAGCATTCTATACTACACATTCTGTGAAAAATCCATCAGAATATATTGAAAAATAAAAAAATAAGAGAGATATTATGAGAACTTTATGATATACCCTCGTATATGAACATTATCCAGATATTACTCTAATAATGGCAAAGAAAGAAACCCCAATACACGTGTGTTTAATTTTAAATAAGAGCATATAAAGATGAAAAAATGATTTCTCTTTTTGACAAACAAAAAAAACTGTACATAAACACCCCTTCCATATGATCACAGCCGTGGCACTGATTACCACAGAAAATAACTGATCATTTCGGTAAAAATGATGACCTTAACCCTCGGAAATGGAACTTAGTACCTATATAAAGTAAAATCAATTCCCTAGAGACTGGGCGCTGTTGCATGGCACGCAAAACTAGCTGTGGAACACAATCTCCATTTCCAAGGTCATCATTTTTACCAAAATGATCAGTTATATTCCGTGGTAATCAGTCTCACGGCTGTGATCATATGGAAGGGGTGTAAATAGAATACCTATGAAAGTAGAACACTTTTCAGTCATGTGACCCTCTGACTTAATTTTCAATGGTCCTCCATGAATGAAAAACCTTCTAAGGGAGAGCCTTTTTGTGAGACCAAATCCACTCAATCAGGTTTAACTTGTATCAAAGAAATGTTGAAACTTTCAGTAACATTTGCTCTACAGCGGCCAGAATAGCTTCAAAAATTGATATAGAAAATCTACTTCACACTGCTTTTCCCTATATTTTATGCTGCATGTTTCTCTCAATTTTAGGAAACTAAAGTCGCCACACAGTTCCCGTAGATCAAAATGTAACTGGGGATTAGACTTACGTTTTGTTATTGTGAATGGCTAGTATGGCGAGTTTGTTGGTTGTACTCAGCATCAAATGGGAGTTGGCAAACACTGTGATACTTTCTATGCACTCTGATACACCAATAGACTGAAATGAAGTAAACATAGAAATTATAGGTCTACTATATTAAGGATGGTGTCATCAACAGTTGTGAAAAATGAAAGTAACTTTGTTAAGGTGAGGGGTTGATTTGGAGAGTGTGGTTCATGGAAAGACTTTTTGGTGAAAATACACGTATGCCAAAAAGTTGAAACTTATTCAACATCTTAAATTTTGTAATACGAGGTGAGGGGGCAAACCATAAGAAAGTTAACTTCATTTTTCATGGAATATTGATCATTGAACATCATCCCATATTGCAAAACCTGTAAACAAGCGGCGCCATCTTTGAATGATGAATTAAATAAAAACACTATAATCATTGTTTTGAGCTCTTGTGTTCATAACCTATTACATATACAGAAAATAAACAGTTTATTTGATTACTGAACTTTACAAGTGGCTTGAGAATATTACACTGGTACACTGTATAGCTTGTATAAATATGGACCCTTAAAGTTGGTTTAACAGAATTAGTTAAACAAAAAAATGCAAAACACAATGGTTTCAAATTATTTCACTAATAAGAAGTGCATGCACAACTTTTTATAACACTAAATAAATAGGCAATTTTATTTCTGGTTCATTTTCACTCTGAAAACAACTCTTGACACAGTATTTCCCATTAATTAACCCTTAACAGAATGTTCAACCTCAGTGCTTACAAAGAAAATTCATTAATTTATCTATATGTATATATTTATGACCTTTATGCTATATGACTGAGTAGACAAAGAATGACTTGCACTAAGTATGACCTATTGAGGTTGAACATTCGCAAATCATCTAGGGTGTAATAAATACCAGTGCTTTATATAACACATGGACATTATCTTGGTATTTGCAGTATATGTGTGCATGAGGGCTGATAAGACTAAGGGAGAGTTATAAGGTGTTTGTATTGTTGACTAACACATTTGGAGTGGAGGTCATTTTCTAGAGCAGCCATTTCCCATCAGTAGGAGGACAGAATAAGGTAAGACTTCAGACTTAAGACTTCAGACTATTATTCTTGTTCCACTGTAACCTTAACTAAATTTAAATCAAGTTATACTCACTATCATCTTATTTCATGATTGTAATTGAATTTTGATACAGTTGATATCGTGTATTGTACACACATAATTTTTTCAATCATATTTCAACCAAAAAGCTTAACCTATTTTTATAGAAAACAACTTTTAACATGTACCTGGTATTTGTTCATTTTTCTATGATTTCTCGCATACATTTTTAATTTGAAACATTTAGATGCTTCGGCATCTTCATGGAACAGACAACCAATAACTGCAACAATGACTTGTCCTTGGATACATACTGGCTTGTCATTCAGAATACTTTTTACTTACAGGATACACATCCACTAACCCGATCTACTATACGCCTTTGGAACAATGAGTGATAAGGAAATTCCCGGCCCCACAAAAGAACAGAAATCCTTAGTATTCGGAAATATTAAAAAGGCTATAATATTGGCAATAGCCCTCACGGTTCTAACCTATTTCTTAGCGCCATCTATATTGATAAATACTGTTGAGAAACGTTTAATTTTCACACTGAGATGTCAAATATTTTCGGTATTAACAATTATGATAGGCATCCAAGTTGTTGGAGGTCGGAGAGCCGAAACACCTGCGATGGATTCAACATCACCATATAAGGACAAGCAGATTGAAATCGGCAATAAATACTTACAGAACACCGTGGAGCAAATCATTATGAACAAAATATGTCAGTTGATTTTGAGTACATATATCGTTGATATGAAATGGATCATGCTGATGGAGTTCATATTTGTTTCCGGCCGTGTAATGTTTCTGATTGGCTACCTGAAGCACCCGCTACAAAGAAGTTTTGGATTTGCGTTTACTTTTCTCCCAACGGTTGCAGTAATCTTGCTTAACATTGCCAATGTCCTGTTTTATAAACCTTGGTATGGGTTAATGGATTGAACATGGCATGATAAATACATAAAATACAGTAAAACTTGTTTAATCAAAATAATCAATTTAATTTTCAATTCTAGTTGAAAACCAATGCTTGAACTGACCAAGATTTTTATATCTATGTACTATGAAGAGTACATATAGACTGGAACTGGTGTTAAATTCTGGGGACATTGACGTTACTGTGTGATACATTCCAATCAACAACAAATGATTATTTACAAAAATCTGAAAGATGTCCAATCTTATACAAAATTTGCATTTAACAAAGTCATACATATCTTAGGATATCTCCATATTCATAAAATATGATATGCAAAAAATATGATATGCAAACCTGTCTATAGCACTGATATGCAAATATTGTGTTATCAATAAGTGGATACATTATCATGTGAATTAAATCAATTACCATATATGACATCCAAAACTAATATGGCCAGGCCTGTAGCCAGAATTTTCCAACATGTCCAAGGGGGGTTCATTTTTGAAAAATTCCAGGGGGTTCACTTGAGACAATTTTGGTCCAAAAATGGCCAAAATCACTTAAAAAGTGCTCAGGATGGTGAAAACTGCATGATTTTGAAAGATTTTTGGCAAGGGGGGGGGGTTCGCCTGAACCCATCAAACCCCCTGGCTATGGGCCTGATGGCAATGATATATAAATCAGTAATAATTATATATGTGTATGTTACTGTATTCTGAATGTAGATGTATTGTAATAAAATTTAGCTACCTAAATAAACTCAATGTGTTCCTGTTATCCTGCATAAAAATGGTGTTGCAATCAAAATCAAGGTCACAAAGAAATGTATGGCATTTTACAAATAACAAATGAAAGTTATCATATTAATATCAAAATCACCACTCTCTTCAGCCAATGGCTTTCATTCATTGGTTACAGTCAAGTTTAATTCACAAATCCAGTTTTTTTGTGTGTTTTCTCTTTATTGAAGTACACTAGCCAATATATATAGACTACATTTGTATACCAGGCAAGCATATAAAAGAAAGGTCATGTTGTGAACTCAAGACTTTAAATAGAAGGGCTGTAAACTTTGTAGCTTGATATACTAAGGTAAGGTAGGCTGGTAGAGGGGCTAGTCTTGCTCCAAGCGTTTGTAATCTCACATCTACTACATTACTAACTGAGTTAATAAGAAGGGGGGTTCAGCCTTGATGCAAGACTAGAACTGGGGTAAAATTTGGGGAATATATGGCTGGAACAAAGCGAATCATGTACAAATAAAACAAACAGTTGTCAAGTTACAATCAAAAGCATCAATGTTTGAAGGGAGGAGAGTTATAGCAGTGATCTCCCCAGCATTAAAGCAAGTGGGTGCTGCACCCACCTGAGATTTTAAAAACAGACTTGCACCCACCTGAGAATCCATATGCACCCACTTGAAAATGAAAAATGAAAAAATCATGAGAAATGGCCATATTTTGTCTAAATTGCGAAATCAGAGAACACTGTATAGGATAAGGGAGATGGGAGAAATAAAAGGGAGAAGGGGGTTTCATTAGTAGATTCCCCTAAAGTAAAGGAGAATGCATAGGCTGTTGAAATAACAGAGCAGATGAACCAGTGATCTCCCCGGCATTGAAGCAAGTGCGCACTCAGCACCCACTTGAGGTTTTAAAAACAGGCTTGCACCTGCCTGAAAATCCATTTGCACCTACTTGAAAAAGAAAAAATCATGAGAAATGGGCATATTTTGTCCAAATTTTGTCTTATAGATTTTTTAACATTGTGTCAATGGGAATTGAGCCATACCCTTTCCTTAATTAATGTTACTTTCAGGGCAATAATTCACCAAGAGACAACATGGCCTTTGAAATGAAAAAAGCAAAACCGGAAGACAGAGCCTTTGTGGGAAAGAACATCATTGTGAGTGTTACATTCATCCTCACATGTGGCTTGATATGCCATATGTTTGTTCCAGATATCACGATCCCTGGATTATCGGACAGACTATTGTTTACATTACGATGTCAAACTTTCTCCGCTGTTTTACTCATGCTTTATATCCAGAGCGTCGCAAAAAGACGCAGGGCTTCAAAAGGGATTAATCCAATAGCGAACTATAAAGACCCATTTATTGAGGTGATGACACGTATTGTACAAAACACAATGGAACAGTTTTTACTAAACTTTATTTTTCAGATGGTGATATGTACATACATAGACAATGTCAAGTGGATTATACTAATGGAGGGTTTGTTCATAGTTGGACGCGTGATTTTCTTAATTGGATATTTGAGGGATCCTGTTCAACGTGCCTTTGGATTTGCAACAACTGCAATACCAAATTATATTGCAGGATTTTACTGTATATATTGCTTTGTTTCAAAATCCCCTTTCTATGAATTGACTGTCTAACATTTCAAATTGATGTAGTAACTACTAACATTGTGTATTTCAAAATTGTTTATCATAAACTTAACTAAAAACTATTGAAATATAATTCAAATATGCCAAGTATGTCTCAGCCAATCAGCTTGGAGTGTTTCAGTGCATTAATTCAAGGTTATGGTCAACTGAGCAGAAACATTATTTAGGCATCATGGTTTCATAATGAACTGATCAGCGCAATTACTGGTAAAAGAGTGACATCATCACAGTGCATTATGGTTTCATAACGAACTGGACAATGTCTTTTTTATAAAGGAGTGATAGTATATTTGAATTGCAATAACCATCATTCTTTCTTGGATTTTAAAGAATTCATGTTTGTACTAACCCATCCTGAAAATGTAATCGGGCTCCACTCTCGTGCATAACATGTATGGGTTTGTAAAGTACTCATGCTTTTTTTTAATAAAAAGAATGGCCAAGAATGATACAAAATTCTTCATTCCTTAAATAAACAACAATACGGAGAAGCGATTGAATTGTGAATTCATGTCAAAGATTTTATTAGAATTTAGGATAACAGGCATAATGAATGAAGCTCTTTCGCGCGGTATTTAATTATTTTTGAAATCTACTAAGCAGTAATTAATTTACTAAAAATTAGGATTTTCATGCCTGCCAATTTGAAAGTGACATAAAATCTAAACCAGCAGAGATACTGTAACACCACCAAATTTTTACTCATAATTAGAAACATATGTATAAATCATATGTCAACGTATGAACTCATCACAATTAGAGGCACTGATGATAAAAAATCCTAAACACCATATATTGCAAAAAAACATAAGACCCCTACTAGAATAACTAAATATTACCTTGGTGTACCCCAGCAGCTTCCCTGGCCTGTCCCCCCCCCAAGTAAAAAGAAATGGCAATTCTCATGTAATAATTGGTTAACTTTGGTCTAATAATTATGCATTTTGATAAAAGTTAACCTATTTGTTAAATGAGCATTAAATCAATGAAAGTTGAATGCCAATAAATAGCTATTTATTACACCTATTTATTATTTTAACAACTATGTTATAATGCTCTTTGAATAATTGGGTAACTTTTTGTCATCCTTGCTACCATAGGTGATAAAAATTAGCTAATTGTTAAGATTGGACTTATAAGAAATGTGGCAGTGAGTATTAGCAAAATATTAACTTTCCCGCTCTTTTTCAACCAAAAGAAAAATGGCTGACAAAGAATGTTCAACTGTAAGAGATTTGGGTAATTTTATGATTTTATAACAATAGTATGAAAATGACCAATCAAATATAGATTCAGAAGTTACTGACATACTTGAACATTCTGCATGTCTACTTTGTGAGAGGTAAAATGTAAGTATTGCTGTGTTATTCCAGTTTAGATGGGGAAATCTTCTTTTCTTTGTGAATTTATAAAGGCTAAATTTTAATTCTATTCATACAGTCAAAGTGGTCAAGCATAAATGTGTTGTGTATGACCAATTGTACCATGCAGTAAAAATATAAGGTATTTTATAAAGATTATGAAGATATAAATACTGCTGGAGGCCTAGAGGGTCCTTCAATAACTGTGAGCCTTCTGGCCTTCAGGACAATTCTGAATGGGGTAAAATTACCAGTGATGTCCCATAATAATTGCTTATATCATCTTACATACCCAGGGCCAACCTAAAATGAACAATTTGCGTGAGATTTCCAAAAATTGTGGTACTTTTACGGGAGATTTTTCCAAAATCTGGTAGTTTTTAAAAAAATTGGTAGTTTTCGCCGTAGATTTTTAAAATCAGGAGTTTTTGAGGTAAATTTTGAAACAACTGGAGTTTTAACGGTAGATTTGAAATAAAACGAATTATCTCCAGTTTTTTTTTTCTAATAAAAGCAATAGTTTTTTGCGGTAAATTCTGCAAAAAGTGGTACTTTTGTGGGAGATTTTTGACAAAATCTGTATAGTTTTTGCAAGAGAATTTTGAAAAAACTTTAGACTTTGCCATGAAATAATTTATACGCTTTGCATGGCCAGGTTTGGATATTCACGCGAATTACATAACGTTACACATTTACTTCGAATTTGTGTGTCCCTACCCACCTAATTTTACATATTATTTAATGTTTTGGGTTAATTCTTATAGTAGAAAATAAATTTCGAAGACCATAATGCATCTTGGGTAAGAGTAATGCAACAAATAGGTTTTAAATAGCTAATAAATAGGTAATACTCTGTTAATTCTTAGCTAACGAATACCTAAAAAATTTATCATGCAAATTAGAGAATATTACCACAATAAATATGTACAATATTTAGGTAATACTCTGTTAACATATAGCTTATTATTGGAAGATAATCAATACATGATTATTAGATTTCTAATTTTACCTAATTGTTACAATGTAATTTTCATTTGATAATCAGTCAATATTCTACATGAGCGTTGAATGTTAACAATACCTTATTACAGGGCTGTCAACTTGGGACCACCTAATATGAGTGACTTCAAAATGTTGGACACCTAAGTCCAAATCTGAACACTTTGCCAAACTTTGAACACCTCAAATTTTTCGCGCTCCCTACGCTCGCGATATCGTCAACGGGGGGGGGGGGGGGGGGGGTAGGTACGAAAATTTTCCAATGAACATGCGTGACACATACGTGATTCGCGTGACAAATCCGAACAAATTGCGTTCGGTTTTTCCCCGCGTTCGTATTTTTACCGTATCGTAAACATATTTCGAAAAAATTTCTACAGAAATATTTTTGCTTGACAATTACCAGGTAAAATGCGTATTTTGCGTGACATTTTCTGTCACGCAAAAAAAACTGGCGTGACTTCAAATTCTTCAGCAAATGCGTTACAAATACGCAAATTGCGGGACAGTTGACAGGCCTGTTATTATTAACACCTAATTATTAACGTAATTCTCTCTAATTTGCATGATAAATTTTTTAGGTATTTGTTAGCTAAGAATTAATAGAGTATTACCTATTTATTGTCAATATTTTCCCATTGACTTTTTTCACTTGTGCAGGCACAGAGTTGGCAGGCCCATCATCGTTCCAAAGTTTCATTTTCTGAGGCTTCAAATATTAGGCTTCACTACCAGAATCATTGAATATAGCAGCGATTTGATCATCATTACCCGACTAAATCTAGCCCTTTTTAAATACCACAATGTCTGATCACTTCCAGATTCGTATTTGTTACAAAATAAATCAATAAGTGACCAAAATAATTTTTTTCAGAAACTTTGCTTCACCAAATTAATTTTAAATCACTTCCTGTCAATGTGAGTACCGAACATTGGCACTGCAATACAAGGGGGACATCTTTTTAAGTCTGCCAAAACTTTCCTATAGCTTGTCGACCTGGAGTTGATGTACGCCAAATAGCGTGTTGGCGACAAAATTCGCCTGACCGCGCTAATTAATGGTGATCAAAATAAGCAATCTTGCCTTAGACAAGAGTTCTTCAGTCAGTGTGTAGTGGGTGACTCAAACTTCCAGAAAAACATGGTTTCTGCCCTGACACTAGATGACACTATATCCAATGCCCACTACTACCCAAAGATGTAAGATCACAACAGACCAGGAAGACCAGCTAACATTACACTAGATTTATTTGTCCATGTTTTTCATCAAATTTTGGTGCGACCTGCACTAGAATTTCTCACAACAGGCTAAATAAATGAAAACAACAGGCAAAATTAATGGAAATCATAAATTTAACATGGAAAAGTTGAAAAGTCCCTGAAAACAACCAATGAAAATCACCTGTTGCCTGCTGCTAATGAAACCCCTGAACCTGTCACTTTAAACTAAACAACAAGCAACTGTCATTGGGAAATAAAATACCAACGAAATTTTGACTGAAAATTTTAAAAAAATACCTGTAACTAAAAGTGATCAGAAGGGAGGACAACACAGGACTTTACCCTCCTTGACACAATGACGATGCTGGTGAAATACCCTATCAATACAAATTATGTGATTTTATAAAAATAGGAAATTGACAATTTTCCCGAAATAGTAATTGAAAATAATTCCATCCACTCATATATGCAACCAGTGGCAGAAAATTATTTCATAGATGTATACTGGTCCAAATCACTATTTCTGTGTGTCAAAGGACAACAGTCTCATAAAGTATAATACATTCATATTTAGATGCATGCTGTATAATGGGGGTCCGTGCATTATACCGAAACCCATTATACCGAAACCCATTATACAGACGCGCATTATACCGAAACCCAGTATACCGACACGCATTAATTGATAGACAAATAAGTGATCGAACACATATTTAAAGCTTATTTGGAGTAATATATTAGACAGTTTTTAAGGATACATGATATCAATACTTAGAATTGACGAAAATCCTTACAAACAAGAGAACATGTATTTTGAGACTAGGACAACCTGTCATCAGAGATAGAAAAGCCGCCCATTCGTTCATCTGTTTGTCCGTCTTTTTATTCGGAAAACAACTCAATAGTTTATAGGAATACGCCTTATGGCCATTAGACGTCTGATTTAGAACAATCCTCGAAAATGGAAGCCAATTTTTAAAAAAGTTGCAGCCACAACTCTAACATTTATTCCCTGTTGTCTATAGCCTTTAATTCAAGGATCCTTTCTCGAGGGCAGAAAACGGGATAAAAATGTAAAAAAGAAAATACAGTGTAATTGAATTGAAATTAAATGTAACGCATTGTGTAATAGATGATGAAATATTTTCACGTACTGAGATTACGTACATTTTTATGATAGGAAATAACTAGGCACATATACAATGCTCAAAGCACCATTGGAAAGCTTATCTTGTGTTCTTTAGTCTCCTTTCTGACAGAAGTGAATCAACCGTTATGCATTGAACTTTATTAATAGATGACAAAAGATTTTTTGCTGACTGACAATACATTGTATTACATATGATCTGAAATAGCGAGCCACATGTACATCTAACCATTGGAAAGCTTATTTAGTGTTCTTTAATCTCATTCATAACAAAATCGAATCAAATGTTCAGGGACTGGGAAATTAAGTGTTACGAACAGAACGTTAATAATAAATCACGAAATAAATATATATTTTGATTCAAACTAAACTTAAATAATAAATAAATGACATATTTGTGCAGACTTACAACTTGACATGAAGGTTTGACTTGGGCTGTGATTTTAGAATGTTTGAAGTATTGAATTTCCCTTCCTTGATGAAGCTTATACTATTCTAGTATATTAGTATTCTGTTGCTACTTCTTGTCTGGTCTTCCTGATTAAACGTACATGCTTTTCAAATAAACTTATCATACTCTTCTACTCTTATCATACATCTTCCATTGCAAGCCTTTTTACATCACAAAATCATGGTGTCGATTTATAGCAATAGTTTTCGGTACAACGCGCACAGATTTCGATTTACAATGCGCGTCGGTATAATGAGGTGATCCCGTATAATGTAGTTGTCATTTAATTGTTGTCATTAAACCGGCTATTTGGACTGTGGAGAAAAAAATTGAAAAATTTTACCTTTTCTGAGCTATCGGGGCAAAGTTTGGTCTAACAATTTCTTCCTTATTCCTATTTTATAAAAATGTATGCATATGGCAATATTCATCAACCAGTAGAACTGGCAAATCATTTAGAATCTACAATTCTATACAAGGAGTCCCACTCATAGATTTTTCAAATTCTTTCCAAGTCGACGTCGAAACACCTAGCGGGTGAAATTGAAACTAATTTTTCTTGCTGCTCGAATCGATAGAATCTCTGATAGTGTGAGTCTTTTTATGAAAATGTTTCTTATAGAAATCACTTGACGATTATTAGAAAGCATTAAAAGTTAAATCCAAAGCGTAATCTGAAATAAAAGTGAAAAAACATTGCGCGGACGTTAGAGAACAAACTTCCGGTTTATAAAAAATGGCGTTGACGAAGGAGAAGAAGCAGAGAAAGAATTCGAGGATTTTCTTTTGCTATTATCGATAGATATAAGGTATGTGCACACATGGAAAATAGATACATTTTTAAAGGCTATAACATATTCAAAGCTTTCATTTTACGATAGGCCCAGGATCACTGGATACAACTCGGCAGTCTTTATACCCACTTTAAATTACGGGATATTAAAAGAGCTAAGCGAGAAAAGTTAAAAATGTTAAAATTGGCGAAAAATTATTTCCCAAGAAATAACACTTTATGGTTCTGTCACCAATAAATCTCACTGTCAGGTGTTACAGGTTCCTGTGAAAATTTTCAAAGAAGAAAGTCTGTATTCTTTCAAGATCTAAAAACAGGGATGAGCTTCCTCAATTTATGTTCTCTTTGTATGTATTTTACCATTGATTCTCAAGAAACCCAATGATTCTTCCCAAACATCTGCTTTCTTTGGCTTTCAATTCTTGAATTTGCTTGCCAAGCAAAAAAATAGTGGGCGATAATATGTGCAACTTACTTTATTGGGTGTATTTTTGCCCCACCATACAGGGTTGGCATCTACGATGATCACTAACAAGTCTTCATATTGCTCTGAAACGAGGAAATTACAGTTATTAAGTGTCAAACTGCCAAGTTACACCGAAAATTACATGAAAATATATAAAACAAACTTACCGTCCATGGTTTGTTCTACAGTAATTATACGAACGTGTAGAACTTTATACAGGATCTTGTTCGGAATTTTAACACCAGCAAATTGTTGTCGGGTTGGGAGCCGGTGTTTGTAGATGAATCAGTGGATAGAGACACAGTGGATAGACGCCTGGGTGAATGAATGACTGTAATGTGGATGTTAAAGCATTGTTGGATTAATGCATTTTAGAACACTAAATGGATGCATTCCTGGAAAGATAAATGCATGCATGGGTCATCCTCCTAAGCAGGTGTCGAGAACACTGAATGGATGCATTCATGGGAAGATAAATGCATGGATGGATGGAATGCATGAATGAATGCCATGATGATGCACGGTTTAATGGACTGGTCATTAATGCATGGGTGGATGGAATGCATGGATGGATGAATTGATGCATGTTTTGATCGATGGGTCATTAATGCATGGGTGGATGAATGCATTTGACACCACCGAATGGATGCATGCATGGAAAGATAAATGCATGCATGGGTGGGTGAATGTATTTGAGAACACTGAATGGATGCATGCATGGGTAGATAAATGCATGGGTGGATGGAATGCATGAATGAATGCAATGATGATGCATGGTTTAATCTAGGAACACTAAACCATTAATGATTAGTGATTTTATTCCATGGTTTAATGGACCGGTCATTAATGCATGGGTGGATGAATGCATTCGAGACCACTGAATGGATGCATGCACGGGAAGATAAATGCATGGGTGGATGGAATGCATGAATGAATGAAATGATGCACGGTTTGATGGATGGGTCATTAATGCATGGGTGAATGAATGCATTTGACACCACCGAATGGATGCATGTATGGGAAGATAATTGCATGGGTGGATGGAATGCATGAATGACTGAAATGATGCACAGTTTGATGGATGGGTCATTAATGCATGGGTGGATGAATGCATTTGAGACCACTGAATGGATGCTTGCATGGGAAGATAAATGCATGCATGGGTGGGTTAAAGTATTTGAGAACACTGAATGGATGCATACATCGGAAGATAAATGCATGGGTGGATGGAATGCATGAATGAATGAAATGATGCAGTTTGATGGATGGGTCATTAATGCATGGGTGGATGAATGCATTTGACACCACCGAATGGATGCATGTATGGGAAGATAATTGCATGGGTGGATGGAATGCATGAATGACTGAAATGATGCACAGTTTGATGGATGGGTCATTAATGCATGGGTGGATGAATGCATTTGAGAACACTGAATGAATGCATTCCTGGGAAGATAAATGTATAGGTGAAAAGAATGAATGAATGAAATGATGCATGGTTTGATGGATGGGTCATTAATGCATGGGTGGATGAATGCAGGATGGGTCATTAATGCATGGGTGGATGAATGCATTTGAGACCACTGAATGGATGGATGCCTTGGAGGATAAATATGGGTGGGTGGAATGTGTAAATGGATGAATGAAGTCGTGGTGCATGTTTTGATGGATGGATCATTAATGCATGGGTGAATGAATGCATTTTATTTTCAATTGAGCAAGCAATCCAACCTACACCCCTTCAACAAGTATGGAAACCAGAAGTCTTCATTGTATGGCATGTTAAAAGCCAATTAATGTTTAAATCTTGGCATGTTAAAAGCCAATTAATGTTTAAATCTTTATTTTGTTAATTACAATAGTTCCGAAATTTATTACTTTGATTTTTTTAATACCCAAATATAAATGGGCTTTATCTTTTGATACAAAAGAGGACTTTTGGCTCGTTTGGCTGTTTCAGTGTTATTTGCTCCAAACATTATTTACAGAACTAAAATTATGTAATATTATTTTTTCAAATGATTTATTTTACATATCGGATACAAAATAATAACAATTGTAAATACATATTTGTAAATAAGTAACAGAGTAAAAACATTTTAAAGCATTTAGGTTTTAATTGTTTCTGTTCATCAATAAGCATAAATAAGCAAAACTTCATAGCAAGATGGCAAGATAGCTTATTTTATATGTTATCAATATAGCCAATCAACATGTTCACTAATGACAGTGTTTAGTTCATTATTTTGGCTTAAAATGTCACATTTTTGTGGGTGTAGCTGTGTAATGAATTCTCAAATATATTTTCAATTGAGGTTCTTTCTTGTTGTTTTACTTGTGTCGCAGTAAGGTTATTTGAAAAGAAACAAAAATGTAAGAAAAAAGCATGACTCATTCACTTATCCCACTCATTCATAAATAATCCCACTCAATCTTAAATAATCCTACTCAATCATTAATAATCATACTCAATCATAAATAATCCTACTCATTCATGAATAGTACTATAAATATTTCAAGAATTCTTGAATTTCACAGTAGGTTTCCTGAGATTCTTACATTGTGGGTGAGTTCTATGATGAGCCTTAAGACCAGCAATTTGTGCAAATGCTGCGTCACATGTTGCACAACCATAGGGCTTCTCTCCAGTATGTAACCGTCTATGTTTTGTCAACACATCAGGCCACGAGAAACACCGATCACAAAATTCACATTTGTGCGGTTTTTCACCAGTGTGGGTTCTCGTGTGACATTTCAGTGTCCCCCTATGAGTAAAAGTTGAGCCACATACACTGCACTCAAATGGACGTTCTTTATTATGTACTTTCATGTGGTATTTCAACCCGGCAGATGTGCTGTATTGATTTTTACAAAGTTCACAATTGTAAATTATACCTCCTTTGTGGGATGCCATATGACTTGTAAGACCCTTTTTTGTGGTAAACATTTTTTCGCATTGATCACATTTATGGCTTTTGTTCTGAATATTACCTTCTTCAGTGATTTGTTTTTGTTTGATACGGATGTCAGGGTTAACTTTAGAAGTAACAGATGTGACAGTATTTTGTTTAAGGCCTGCCAGTAAAAGATGATCTTTCTTTTTTTGCTTTATATCAATATTACATTCAACATTATCATTTTTACTTTGAACTAATCTGGTGGTATCATCTTTGTCCTTATTATTAACAGAGGCAGGTCCTTTCAATGGAACCTGTTCTGAAACTGGACTGCTGTTCGCCTTATCATTGATATCATAATTAAACTTGAATCTTTTTTTGGGAATATCATTTGGGTATATTGTATAACTATTTTGGACCATCTTACTAGATTTTTTCTGCTCATTTTTCTCAGCTTGGGCATTTTGATTGTAAACATCATTATTGCATTCCTTTTTGTTATCATGTGCAATTTTTTCTTTTTCAGATATAAGATATTTATTGAGATGCTGTTTTTCTTGTATGAGGTCATATCCTTTGTTCTTCTGTACTTGAATGACATTATTTTCAGTCTCCTTGTTGTAGTTCAGAGATGGGGAATTGTCTTGACTACGGGAAATAAACACATTTCTATGGTGATCTCTTACCACATGCTGAGGAGGAAGTACTGGGGAAGAATTGTGGTCATTTTCGTAAATTTCACTTGTAGGGTTATGTTCTTCACCTTTATCCTGGTGGTCTAAGGTATCTTGAGCAGTGTGAGGCTCATCAATATAATAAGAGTGCTGCATCGCTGAATTTGACTCTGCTTCGTGTAATTTGGAAATTGGATATTCTGGTTTTGAGATACAAGTTGTTGATTGGCTAATGTAGGGTTGTGGTTTTGCAGTTAACATGTATACTCTAATGGCCTCTGCTCTTTCAGGGGAGTAAGAAGCTTCTCTGCCATGAATTTCAGAACTCTGTTCTTTTTGTTCACCTTCAATAGGCAGTCGCTCACTTCTGGCTAAAATCTCTCTAACTATTTGTCTCATACATTCAGACGCCTCTTCAGATTCAAGAATACTATGATTGTCATTGTATTTTTTAGTGTTTTGATTCCTTGCATTTCCATTTAAATCATTGCTGTAATGATCTGCTACAGTTTCATCATTATAATGTTGGCCTGTATCAGTAGTTGATTGTTCACCATAAGACTGTGTTGATTTATATGGACTAGCATGTTTGTAATTTGAAATTATGTTAGCTAAGTTTGAGCTTTCATAATGTCTATGAAGATCAGCAGATCTTTGAGTGTCTGTGTAGTCATTTTGCGGGGGTTTGTAAGTTCTAGATTCATTTTCATGTGTTTTCTTCATGGCATGTTGTACAGCGCCTTGAATATAGTGCCGGTAAAATGTTGATGCCTCATTGAAAAGGTCAATGGATGAAATAATGGGTTTATTTGGTATGTCAGTGCCAGATGATCCTGTATTATTAGGATCTGTAAAGCTGTTATCATACTCATTTGGTTGAATATTGCCTTGATCAGGTCTCATGTCATCTTTAGAATTTCTGTTTGGATTAACGATTTCCTCTGAATTATGCAAGTCAGTTTCTGTTGCACAAGAGATATGTTGAGATCGTTGGGTACAAGCATCACCTTGAAATTGATTATTTCTAGCAAAGTTATCCAGGTCATGATTAAGCGTATTTGGTCTACTTATTTCAAAATATGTGTTGTTTTGGAATTCCCCATGATCATGTGCAAACAAATGTTGTTGTCCTTCAAAGTCTGTTCTGTTTTGTTCTTTATTCACATCATGAGATATTGGGGTATGTTGTCTTCTTGACTCAAAATGTGAATTGCTTTGGTATTCTTCTTGATCATGCATTAAAGAATGTTGCTTGCCATTGACATCAAAATGTGTGCTGTTTTGGAATTCTTCATGGTCATTTGTTATAGCATTTTCGCTGTTTGGTTCATAGTGTGCATTGTTTTGAACTTCCCCTAGATTTTGAGGTAATGGTGTATGTCGCCTGTTTGGTTCAAAATGTGAACTGTTATTAAATTTTTCCTGGTAATTTGTTAGATTATGTTGTTGTTTTGGTTCAAAATGTGTGTTATTTTGGAATTCTTCAGCACCATCTATTTGTGGATGATGCGTATTGGTTTCATAATGTGTATCATTAGGGAATTCTCTGTGATCTTGTGTTAGGATAGGTTGACGTCTGGTTATTTCAAAGGTAGAATTGTTTTGAAAATTATCATGGTATTGTGGCAAACTATGCAGTCTATTAGCTTCTAATGAATTATTAGCGCAATCACTTTGATTTAAATCTTGCTGTCTCTCAGATTCAAATGTGTGTCTGTTTGGAAAATCCCCAGAATTTTCTGACAAAGTGTACTGGTTCACCGATTCAAAGTTTGGGCAGTTTTGTAAACCTATAGAACTTTGTGTGAGAGTATCATTATTATGAATTTGTGCATTTTCTTGTTTTGATTTAAAAATTTCATTGGTGAATTCCTCTGAGTTATATGCTAAAGACTGTTGTCTTGGTTCAAAGGAAGGATCTGTGAAATCGTCGTGGTGATGCAAGTGACCTTGACCCTTGCCTATTTCAAAAGGTGGTATGTCTTCTAACTGATTCCCAGTAGCATGTGTTTTTGTATGCTGTCTGTTGTCAAATGGATGAGCATTGGTGAATTCTTCATGGTGTTCTAATCTTTGTTTGCTTGCTTCAAAAGGAAAATCCTGGAAGTTATGTTCTATAGGGTTTTTCTTATTTTGTTCAAAATCAGAGTCATTGTGTTGGATATCTCCAGTATCACTAACTACACATTGCCGACCTTTTGACTTTAAGCCGGTATTGCTTTGCAGTTCTTCAAAGTCCTGTGCCATTTGATGTCTTCTTTGTTGAGTTATGCGACTGTCATGTGATGTATTCTCAGTAACATGTCTATCAAAAGTATCAGAGTTTTGAGTCTTGTTTGATTCATGTATATATCTGGTAGCTTCATAATAATGCTCATCCACGTTGTTTTCTAAGTTGGACCTATCTCTAATACTCTCCTCTGGGTTGATATCACCCCTTGCTCTGATAGCATGATCTTCATATTGTTTGTAATTGAAAGGAACTCTTTCATAAGTTTCCTTATCATTGGTGGAAAGTTCAAACTTATCAGTTATTTCTTTACTTGTTTCATTTGTGTCATCACTACCTGGTGGAAAATACTGTTCATATTGATCTCTAATATTGCTAGCTGTGTGTCTGGTGTAGGGTGTTGGTTGGGACTCAGGAGAAACATATGACCTCCCAGTTTCATCACTTTGGTATTTACTCCATTTGGGTACATGCTCAGTATATGGTGTCCCTTCATAGTGACTGCTATACATAGATGTAGTTGTATGGGCACTCTCAATAGGACCTTGTTGGTTTGAGATTGATGAAACATATGAACTGACAGGTGGCAGCCCTATTGGATATGACAATGAGCTATTTGATGTGTAACTTTCTCTATATGTGTAATTATGTTCTGTTGAAAAATCATGTGTAGTAAATGGTATATCATGTGCTTCATATCTGATCTGCTTTTGTGTATTTGGATTAGATGGAGAGACTGGTTTTAATGGATTTGAAACAGAAGGAGATGGAACACGAAGAGAGGAAGACATGGATGGTGGGGATGATCTGTCAGATGAAGCTGGTGCACCAACACCTTGGTCAAAGTGGAGCAAAGGGGAAGAAAAATGGCAATTGCTTGTGTTTATGTTGCTTGGTAATGCCATATTTGGAGATGGTTCTGAGGCATTTGAGTTAAGATTATCTATATATTGTCCAACAGAAGTAGAAAGTGCATTGTGACTTAACATGAATTTGATTGGTTGATCATTATTAGTGAAGTTTCTAATTGGCTGCTCATTGTTACTAAGCATGTTTCGTATTGGTTGGTCATCATTAGTTAGATTTCTGATTGACTGCTCATTGTTGCTAAGCATGTTTCTGATTGGCTGGTCATTTTGATTTTGACTAAGCATGCTCTTGATTGAATTTTCATAATGACAAATGGAGTTCTTCACTGCTTGATCATTTAAACTGTTTTGTTTAATCTCTGATGTTGAACAATGTTTCGATTGATCAGGATTTTGTTCTAAGGGAGGCCCAGACCATTTCTCTTGATCAGCAAAAAAATTAAGCCAATTTACAGCATCAGTGGTAGTTTCCTCAGAAACCTTTGCAGCCACATCTTCTTGAGCATCATCTTCATCGTCATGAGCCTCACCAGAGTGTGCTATTGAAGAGGCTTCATTCTCTGTGTAGCCATCATCAACAACTGCACATTTAGCACCAGATTCAACAATTGCACTGTCATTTGGTGGATAAGTTTGACCTTCAATATGAGTGTTCATATTATTACCATACTCGTTAAATTGTTTTGCAATAATTTTGGTGTTTTTCTTGTCCTTATTACTGCCATTCAAATTAGAAGGTGCATTTTCTGTCACGCATTGTTTTTGGTGTTTAGATGCATCTAATTGCATTTCTTTGTTTGGTGTAATTGTTGTGTCTCGTTTGTTAGTGATACTGATGATACGCTCTTGTTCACTTGTAGGGACTTTTCGCATACCTGTAATTAAATCAACAGATTATATTATTTTAATTGTATAGACCTAAGGGACAAGGTTTGTATGTACACCTACAAAAGTAATGACAAGTTTGGGTGAGCGATAAAAATCACTTCTACGTGAACATTGGCTTATAAAAGGAATAAATACTAAAGAAATCACTGAATGTTTATTTTTTTGAGAAAAGATGAAGATGGATCCTACCGTTTGTTAAATATTAGTTAAGGTTTTTTTTGTTTTTCTTTTTATTTACTAATGTGATTCAAAAAATTTTCAGGTTTCAGAAAATCCTGGATTGAAATGTTCAAAGTTTTATAAAAAAGCACACCTTTATGTCCAGAACACTTAAAGTGGGACTTTATTCCAGCTATCTGAATGAACCTCTTGTCACACACAATACAGGCATAGGGCTTTTCACCTGAAATATCACAAATGTTTGCTTGATTTCGAAACATATTTATGTAATAAACATTTTTATATAAAACAAGACTAACATGCCGAATATCATCACCTGCCATTTGTTACAGATGCCGATTCCCAAATGCCAACTGCCAACACCATCCACAAAAAAGTTGGAGAATATAACAATGTTACAACTTCTGGTGGTAACAAAATATAAAATTATATACACTTTTTCATCTTCTTTATATTTATACCTCTACCTTAAAATCAATACCATTTTACTTTGTCATCGAAATGTTGATAAATTCAACTGCCAAATTTTGACAAGTAGCATGCATTGAATAACACATGCAATGCAATGCAGAAATGTGTAATTTGGTAGAGAAGGGTTTCAAAATGAATTAGAAGCTGGCCTTACCTGTGTGTATCCTAATATGTTTCTTCAAGACATCTGGCCAAGCAAAATATTTGTTACAATAGTCGCATTTGTAAGGCTTTTCTCCTGAAATAGTACAATATATCACATATCAAACTAGAATGCTACTTTGTGATAAGTCAAATCATGTCACGTGACTAGCTGTTAAATATTCAATCAATAAATTGTGAGTAGAAGACATATAATTGGTTGAATATCACTATTTCGGATATATAGGAATAAACCTGCATTATACTGAGAAAAAATTATTCAGAGAAAAAAATCCAACAATTACAATAACAAACAAGGCATTAATATGCAAAATGTCACCACCTGCCATTTGTTACAACTGCCAAATGACGTCACAAAAAATGGAGACCATAACAATATGGCACTGCTCTGGTGGTGACATAAAAATATTGAATCTGACTGCATTCCTTTAAAATTTGATCCTCTTACCTGAATGGATACGTTTATGAGCCTTTAGTGTTCCTGATAGAGTAAAGGAGGCGCCACAGATCTGGCACACAAATGCTTTCTCCCCGCTGTGGACCTGAAATATATGAGAATATGAATCTTAATTATGGGTTATTGATCATTTAATAAAATGTCAAAAGACAAGAGAGGAATAGGAAAGCAAAGTCGAAAGCCATGATCTCCTGAATGTAGAAACATTGTTGATTACTGCGTTTTGAACAGAATTCAGCAAAAATTATATGTTTATATTTGTTTAATTAAATATATCACAACTAGAAAAACAGTAACTCCACGGAGTAGCAAATCTCAACGAACAAAACATATTTTGCTTTTAAGTGACCATCTTGAAAATTCCTTCTTGAGCAGAGCTTGTTTGCCTCTAGGCATCAATAAAATGTAAATCATATCCATCAATTAGCATTTGAGCAGATGGCTTTTCTATATCCCCCTCGAACTTCATTCGGTGGGATAATAAAATGTAATCACTATACCATACCATACCATGCCAAACCAAACCATACCATACCATGCCATACCATACTACATGACATTAATATGCACAAATTGACTTACTTTCATATGATATATTAATCCTTCAGGTCCCTGAAACACTTTACTGCAAATGGTACATTTATAATTCTTTATGCCATCATGGGATGCGATGTGCCGGCTCAACCTGTAAATCAGATGGTACATTTATAATCCTTTATGCCATCGTGGGATGCGATGTGCCAGCTCAACCTGTAAATCAGATGGTACATTTATAATCCTTTATGCCATCGTGGGATGCGATGTGCCAGCTCAACCTGTAAATCAGATGGTACATTTATAATTCTTTATGCCATCATGGGATGCGATGTGCAGGCTCAACCTGTAAATCAGATGGTACATGTATAATTCTTTATGCCATCATGCGATACAATGTGCCGGCTCAACCTGTAAATCAGATGGTACATGTGTAACTCTTTATGCCATTAAGCGATGCGATATGTTGGCTCAACCTGTAGGAAAATATCATATTTATTAAAGAATTTAGGTTCATGACTCGACGCTTTATGAGTGAGAAATATAACATTTCTTATGCAGCTAAACCAAGGCCAACATGCTGGTGTATAAGGCTAAAACATAAGAACATAAAAATGCTCTAGAGGTGGTCGATAAATACAGAGACTTACATATACCTATATTTGTAATATGCCCAGGTTATTTCTTACCTTGCAAGTTTTCTATAAGTCTGTCCACATATTTCACAGATGTAAGTTCGTCTTTTGCTGGGGTCAGTTTTTTGCTTCTGTCCTGCATGCACTTTTTGTGTATGTGTATATAAGGTACCTCTCTGGGAGAATGTTTTTCCGCATTGTCCACAGCTGTATGGTTTCTCCCCTGAATGTGTTCTCATGTGGACCTACAACATGGGTTAGAGTTAACATTTATTTAATTACTTAATTTATTTATTTTGATAAAAAAGTTTCCTGTAAAGCTCGAAAAATTTGACCCCCTTGTTCAGGCTTAGGAGAGTAAGGGATAGAGGAAAAACCTGAATGATAGCATATATGTTCAAGTTTGCACACTTAAAGTTTAATACCTGTTAAGACATAGTTAAAAAATAAAAATCATGCCAGTGCTCTAGTTTGTGTGAAAGGCTACATATATTTGCAACTAGCTGTGACTTGTTGAGACAATGATACTGCAAGCAAACTCATGGTAAAATGGGGCATGTTTTTTAACAGTCACCAACATTTGGACTTATCCCTTAATGTTCTGTCTTACCTGGAGATTATATGCCTTTGTGAAGCTTTTCTGACACTCTTCACACTGGTGTTTTCTGTTGTGTTCCTTATCTTTGACATTGTGTTTTTCTTCTTTCACGTTGTGTTCTTTCTGTTTCCTGAAACCAATTTGTAGAAATGTCATTTCAATAGAATTTTAAACAAAATATTTTGATTTTTACATGTAAGTATAATAAAATGTAAATAACCACATGTATAATTTTGAAAATAATGCTAACTACATTTCATAAAATACTAATTTTTGTAATCATGAAAACTGCATGAAATATTTGTCATGTGGATCTTTCTTAATTTGTTGAAATGTCTACATAAAGGAAAAGAAATAGTAGAAAATTTTACCTTGTTTTTTGAGGTATTGCATCTGCTTTTACAATGCTCTTTTTTGAATTCCTACAATTTCTGTATTTCTCTTGAGGTATTGATGTTCCCTCTGCGACTTTGGCCCCATCTATAGGTCCATGAGTTAACTTGTGTGTATACAGTTTCTGTTTATGTGAGAACGCTCTGTTACACACAGAACACACATGCAGCTTATCACTAGCGTGTGCTCGAACATGCTTGGCATACGTCTTCCAATCAGGTTGATCCATCTGACAAATTTCACAGATATATTCCCCTGTATAGTTATGAATCATTACTTTATGTTCCTTAAGATCGCACGGAAACTTAAAGGTTTCTGTACAGTCTTCACACTTCACTGAATTTCCGCCTGTGTGGATTATTTCATGATTGCAGAGATTACGACGTTGGGGAAACCGTCTCTCACAGTATTCACACTTGAATGGGTAAAATGTTGGATTCAGTCCACTGGGGTTGAACTCTGTAGTGGTATGAGGTGGGGTTTTGACAGTTTGAGGTGGAGTTTTGACAGGTTGAGGTGGAGTTTTAATAAGATGAGGTGGAGTTTTGATGGATTGAGATGGAGTTTTGACTGACTGAGGTGGAGTTTTGACAGGTTGAGGTGGAGTTTTAGTAGACCGAGGTGGAGTTTTAACAAGCAGAGGTGGAGTTTTGACAGGTTGAGGCGGAGCCATGATAAGCTTAGGGGGAGTTTTGCCAGAATGGGATGCAGAATTAGCAGATTTAGGGGGATTTTTCGCAGACTGAAGAGAAATTTTGTCATGTTCATGTGGAGATTTCTGTTGAGATAAGGCCTTTACATGTTGAGGGTCTGCTTTCACATCAATAATGTTGGCTCCTTTTTGTTCAATAAGTTGTGGCTTCTCAAACTTTTTATGTGGCACTTTCACATTGCTCCGCTTTACTTCAATATCAGGACACAAACGTTTACATTTTAATGCAAACTTCTCTTTTTCAATGTTATTTGTAATTTCTCGTTGATCTGTAGTGTTATCACTTGTTGGACTGTTTTTCTGTGTTGATTTGGTTTCAATAGGCAAGGGGTCCAAACACTTTATCTGAAGTAACTTCTTATCACCTGAAAATAAAATATAATATGTTCAATAAGACAAGTCATCTCACTCTTCATTATTTAAAGCATGGGCTTCATGCTTGAGAAAAACCTGGCTATTAGTAAATAGTTGATAATTTTAGATCCATATTTTGAGATGTAATTTTGTATGTAGATTTTAAGTTCAGGTAAATAGCCCTATAAAAGTTTCTTTGACTGAATTTTGGACATTTAATCATGAAAATCAAGAATGACTTCAAGAGGGGGAATACCCCACAATGCATAGATGAACCTATCTCGATATGAGGATGAAGCTCAAAACAGGTAGGGTCATCCGTGAATTTTGGGGTATTTCCACCTCTTAATGACATCTACAGTAGTCTAATTCCACTTACCAAGTAACAAACCTTCCCTTTTCCCATGCGCAGTGATGTGTGATCGTAAGTCTTCAATCGTTGGAAGGTCATTATTACAAATAACACACATATAAGGGCCTTCCACAGTCTGTTCCTTTTGCTTCGCTGTAACTTGGCTTGAATTCAAAGACTTTGCAGTATGTTCTGGGGGTTTTGTTGGAGGGTGTATTAGTCTGGATTTTCTACTAAAATATCTTGTTTTCTTCATTGTGGCATCGGGGTCATTATTATCCTGTTCATCTGTTGTTGTATTGGTGTTATGGTTAGTGTCAGTTATAAAATCATTTATTTTTTTTGTACTTCGTTTAGGTCTTTCAATGACACACTTTGACACATTAGGTGACACTGACACATCTGGTTGTTCTTGATATTTGATAAGTGGATCAGAAATCCCAGATATCAACCTTCTTTTTCTTCTATTCTTGTAACATACAACTGGTGTCTCATTCATTTGATCAGTTGTGGATTGCTTTGTATCAGAATAATTTTCCACAAAATCATTAACACTTTGGGATTTGTCATCCATGTCCATAATGGGTTTTGGCTCATCTTTGGATGGTCTGGTTTTTGTCACTTTCATTTTGGTTTTACTTGCAATTGCTGGTTGGTTGGGAAACTCAGCAGAAGAGTCATCATTTGCTAATGCTGCTGGGATGATATTAGTTCGAGGGGTCTTTGCACTTGATTCCTTGTTTACATCGCAAACCTTTCTGTTTTCAAAACCACACCTTCGTCTTTTCCTGGTATTAATGTATTCTTCAGAGCCAGCATTTTTGATATGCAAGCTGTTTGTTTCATCTGCGCTTATGTTACTTTTGGAATTGGTTGTATTGTTTTTACTAGGATGGTCAGTTTTTCTGGCTCTCAGTTTTCGAGGCATCTCTGCTTCTGAAATAAAAAAAACGTGTAGGCTTTCATTTATATGTCTTAGGTCTCTGAGGCCTTATAATATGAAAGTAAAAGTCAAACTTAGTCAGAGATTCTGTAAACCCAAGCCCATGGTAAACCTTATGACGGTGCGTACATCAATATTCAGATTTGAGACTGACAAAAAGGGGAGACTATCACACAGTTGTGCACTTCCGAATTGCAAATTACTCAATTTATCAATTTTTGATCACTAAGTTACGTTTACATGATATGACAGGTTAGCGTCAAATACATATTGGACATGCAAAAAATATGTGATGGACCAAAAGAGTTAATTTTTACAAGCTGTGTGAGAAACTTGGAACTTACCAGCGAGTTTCTGCAATAAATCTAATATATTCGTGATATCCCTCGTGTCTAAGAAAAGCCTCAAGAAACATTCAACAATGAGAATACGATCAAGTTGTTAGTTTTTTCACTACATGCTGCATAAAATGAGTTTTATTAGCATGTTTATGTTTAACATTTTTTCTTTTAATTACTCTCGCGAGACTTGAAACGAAAAACGAGAGTTGGCGCGAGAGAACTTGTTACTCGAAGAAAACGCACATATTTTCCCCATTATTACTGGTTCTGTATTTTATTCATAAGTAATTATGAATGATGAAGGTTTGTGTGATATTGTTTTATAATTTAAATGTAACTACATCAAAATAGAGGCTTTGGTTACGTTGATTTGAAGACAAATAATGAGAATTAACATATTATCGCCCACTGTTTTTTATTGAAATTTCATAATACTCTTTGGAATACTTTATTGTGAGTATAACAAAGTGCACATGAGTTGTAATTGTAATTGAGGATTGTCATCCATGAGACTCTTCCTGAAAATACCAAAGATGCATCTGTGCCTGCCATCTCACTCAGTTTCGAACTCTCATTGCAGTTTATCCCGTTCCATGACTATAGTCCTGTACTGAGCGCATACATTTGCCTGTACGATTACAACTTGGGAGAATTATCTACGCCCCTTCCACTTAAGAAACCTACCTCAATGCATTCTAGAACTCAAAATGTAACTTCTAATATATTGGAACCGCCGATTGTCTGGGTTAGTTGGCAGAACGAGGTCTTTTTGTTTCTTATGGCTCTTTTGGTCGAAGTTCGATTAAGGTGCTATGGAACTTAACAGGAAATGACAAAACAGGAAGTGACAATTTTTTTTGCATTTTTAGATATTTTTTGAATAAAGATAACAGAGTTCTGGTTTGACCTCCAGTCAATTTAACTATTTCCACATATCATTTACATGACCAGGATCACAATGTGCATGGTCAGAATGACCCTAAACATGATGAAATAACCTTTTTAGCCCTTTGAAAGTGTGACTGAAAAAAAGCTAAAAGTAGTCCGGTCACTGAACAGAATCTTTTGAAATTTTCAGAAAATGTGCCCAATATATTGCTCTAAATGATACAATCTTTGAAAATTTGATATCATTCATAGAAAAAGAAAAAAAAATGAAAAAACTGATTTGAAAAGCGATCTATTTTCCTTTTTATGACTGCCATCTTTGTTTAAGACAATTTTCTAAAATTTCAAAGATTGTACTAGTTAGAGCATTATATTGGGCACATTTTCTGAAAAATTCAAAAGATTCTGTTCAGTGACTATCCCTACGCTCCTACTTTTAGCTTTTTTTCAGTCACACTTTCAAAGGGCTAAAAAGGTTATTTCATCATGTTTAGGGTCATTCTGACCATGCACATTGTGATCCTGGTCATGTAAATGATATGTGGAAATAGTTAAATTGACTGGAGGTCAAACCAGAACTCTGTTATTTTTATTCAAAAAATATCTAAAAATGCAAAAAAAAATTGTCACTTCCTGTTTTGTCATTTCCTGTTAACTTCCATAGCACCTTAAGATGGCGGTTATAACGGAATTTCCCGAACTTTTCCGTAATAGCATGAACTTGGTATTTCGTTACGTCACTTCCGTGTAAAATGGATTTGTTTCCGGTAAGAGGGAATTTCGAAAATTTCGGACAATATTTTCAATATTTACTGCCATGTCGACATCCTATGCTCTTAACTGTATACCGAATGGTTAAACAATGTTTCTTACCGGAAACAAATCCATTTAAACACGGAAATGACGTAACGAAATACCAAGTTCGTGCTATTACGGAAAAGTTCGGGAAATTCCGTTGTAACCGCCATCTTAATCGAACTTTGACCAAAAGAGCCATAAGAAACAAAAAGACCTCGTTCTGCCAACTAACCCAGACAATCGGCGGTTCCAATATATTAGAAGTTACATTTTGAGTTCTAGATGACTAGAATGCATTGAGGTAGGTTTCTTAAGTGGAAGGGGCGTAGATAATTCTCCCAAGTTGTAATCGTACAGGCAAATGTATGCGCTCAGTACAGGACTATAGTCTGGAACGGGATAAATTGCAGTGTCTCGGAACTAGAGACATTATAGATCTATCCTATAGTTCTGACATTTTCGAAATTGTCTGTATTCTTGATACAGACTACTGTCAGAATAGACACTGCGGCGGGTAGATGGCAAAACATTTGTATGAAAATAAATTATGTAAACCTGTGGCCTCTAAGCCCCTTGTAATTTAGAGAGTTCCAGTCAGTTTATTTTTTTGAGTATACGACGTAAGAGAAGCTTCAAAATTAAAGAGGCAACAGATATGTTCACCTATTCCAAAATTTACAAATATTTTTTCATTAGTTGTAAAGCTAATTAGTAGGTAACGTCAAACGAAGTAAACATACTTTTAAAATAGGAATATGTGATTCCATACACGTCAATGACCATTCACCATGATCATGTACTTACGAAATATTCAATCCATTTGTCACTCAGTCATGAGTCCCTGTAGTCATTTATGTTTAACTGCTGTTATCAGGCTTAGACACTTTCGTTGTAACTGTTGTACTCCATATTTTATTTTTTCATTGCAGATATTGTGCGCTATTTTGTGCAAACAGTGAGAGAAGATGGAAACATGTCGGAGGCTGTGGCGGCCATACAGACGTTGGTAGAATACATGAAGCTAAACACAGGTACAGTTAAACTACCTGAATGAGATGCAGGGGTGATGTATCCTAATTTCATGTCACAACCATGAGTTGTCACATATAGGTATAGTCTCCAACTTTTCTTTGGAAGGTGTTCGGCAGTTGGTTTTCAGCAGTTGGCATTGGCAGTCAGCATCCGTAACAAAGGGCAGGTGGTGATATTTTGGATGTTATTTCCTTATTTAATAATATGATATTCTACACTGTTATTGTGCTACTCATAATCCATAATCCATTGCTCTTAGCCTGTCATACTCATACATGTACATAACTTTGTAAAGGAAACAATTACTTGGAAAAAACATATTTTTTGTATTACATATAAGAGCTGGGGATTGATCATGATTTGATCTGAAAATTGATTTGACGTTTTCAGCTGAGACTCTCTCTGGGCTTAGGGACAACTTGAAGCATGCCATAGAAATAGTGAGTAACACAGAGGTTAGACAGACTGCCATCCTGTCTGGCTGTGAACTATTCCTGCGATTCATCACACTAGCATCTTTAGATAGCCCAGTAAGTACTTGTAACTTATTACCAGTAAGTACTTGTATAATTACCAGTAAGTACTTGTAACGTATTACCAGTAAGTACTTGTAACTTATTACCAGTAAGTATTTGTAACTTATTACCAGTAAGTACTTGTAACTTATTACCAGTAAGTACTTGTAACTTATTACCAGTGAGTACTTGTAACTTATTACCAGTAAGTACTTGTAACGTATTACCAGTAAGTACTTGTAACTTATTACCAGTAAGTACTTGTAACGTATTACCAGTAAGTACTTGTAACTTATTACCAGTAAGTACTTGTAACTTATTACCAGTAAGTACTTGTAACTTATTACCAGTAAGTACTTGTAACTTATTACCAGTAAGTACTTGTAACTTATTACCAGTAAGTACTTGTAACTTATGACCAGTAAGTACTTGTAACATATTACCAGTAAGTACTTGTAACTTATTACCAGTAAGTATTTGTAACGTATTACCAGTAAGTACTTGTAACTTATTACCAGTAAGTACTTGTAACTTATTACCAGTGAGTACTTGTAACTTATTACCAGTAAGTACTTGTAACGTATTACCAGTAAGTACTTGTAACTTATTACCAGGAAGTATTTGTAATGTATTACCAGTAAGTACTTGTAACTTATTACCAGTGAGTACTTGTAACTTATTACCAGTGAGTACTTGTAACGTATTACCAGTAAGTACTTGTAACGTATTACCAGTAAGTACTTGTAATGTATTACCAGTAAGTACTTGTAACGTATTACCAGTAAGTGCTTGTAACATATTACCAGTAAGTACTTGTAACTTATTACCAGTAAGTACTTGTAACTTATTACCAGTGAGTACTTGTAACATATTACCAGTAAGTACTTGTAACGTATTACCAGTAAGTACTTGTAACATATTACCAGTAAGTACTTGTAACTTATTACCAGTAAGTACTTGTAACTTAATACCAGTTAGTACAGGGTGACACAAATAATGTCACCAATAGAAAGTTGCATAACTTTTTTGCCTGCATGAATTCTCAATTGTTCTTCAGCAGATTTAAACTAAACTCCCGTGAAGCAACTCCACAAAGTATGTACATTTTCTTCCAAATAATACACAGTTCTTAGTTCAGTCTTGCCTTTTTGATGCTTTAATTCTGAAATTTTTACACCACGTGATCGATGTAACCTCCTCATATTTCGATGAGAGCCTGGGGTCCGTTTTTGAAACCATCGTAACTTACGATTTGGTCGCAAGTCATTGTTCATCAAAACAGAGACAAATGGTTTTCTCGGAATCGTAAGTTACGATCGTACGAAAAACGAACCCCTGTATCCTTACTGCTACATTGTTCATCACATTTAAGGTTTCTGATTAGAATGTTTTGGATTTCTTTTTGGATGTTGGCTTTACGTTATTCAAGGTCTATTGGCTTGGGAATAGCATAAAAATGCTCCTTACATGCTTTGGCTAAATAACATGACCATGCAAAATGTTTGAAAACATTTATTGGTTTATCTGTGCTGTTGAAATACTTTTTGGTAGATTTTTTGAGACACCCTGTATATCCATATCTTTAATATTTAGGATTTCCAAGAATGTCGCCAGGTGTTAATAGAGAGAGGGAACATGTTCTTGAAAAAATGCAGATTTTGTCGCAGGAAGATCGCCAAACTTGGCCTCCCCTTTATTAGAGATGGAGCGGTATGTTGATTTTCTTTCTATGCAAACTTGACTATGTAAAACAAAACGTATTATTAATTACGACATAAAAATATTCCAAAATATTTATATTTAAAAGTATTCCTGCCATGATTGTAAGTTTATTATAAGATACCTGAAAATCTAGATTGAATGTAAAATTAGACAGTTTTGAAACCACTTTCCATTTATTTTTCAGACAATATTGACCCATTCGTACTCAAGGGTGGTACTTCAATTGTTGAAAGATGCAATGGAGGCCAATAGAAGATTCAGGGTGTTTGTGACCCAGTCAGCACCAGATAATGCTGGGTAAGAATGCCTCTTGTAAAATCATGTACCAGATAATGCTGGGTAAGAGTGCCTCTTGTAAAATCATGTACCAGATAATGCTGGGTAAGAATGCCTCTTGTAAAATCATGTACCAGATAATGCTGGGTAAGAGTGCCTCTTGTAAAATCATGTACCAGATAATGCTGGGAAGAAATGCCTCTTGTAAAATCATGTACCAGATAATGCTGGGTAAGAGTGCCTCTTGTAAAATCATGTACCAGATAATGCTGGGTAGGAATGCCTCTTGTAAACTCATGTACCAGATAATGCTGGGTAGGAATGCCTCTTGTAAAATCATGTACCAGATAATGCTGGGTAAGAGTGCCTCTTGTAAAATCATGTACCAGATAATGCTGGGTAGGAATGCCTCTTGTAAAATCATGTACCAGATAATGCTGGGTAGGAATGCCTCTTGTAAAATCATGTACCAGATAATGCTGGGTAAGAATGCCTCTTGTAAAATCATGTACCAGATAATGCTGGGTAAGAATGCCTCTTGTAAAATCATGTACCAGATAATGCTGTGTAAGAATGCCTCTTGTAAAATCATGTACCAGATAATGCTGGGTAAGAATGCCTCTTGTAAAATCATGTACCAGATAATGCTGGGTAAGAATGCCTCTTGTAAAATCATGTACCAGATAATGCTGGGTAAGAATGCCTCTTGTAAAATCATGTACCAGATAATGCTGGGTAAGAATGCCTCTTGTAAAATCATGTACCAGATAATGCTGGGTAAGAATGCCTCTTGTAAAATCATGTACCAGATAATGCTGGGTAAGAATGCCACTTATAAAATTCTACACTACATTTTAACATCTTAAGGTGCACCTCCCCCTAATAACCTCATGTGCAAATTAAGGAATATGAGAATCCATTTGCCCATAATGAAAAATGGGTCTTTTCCTTTGTTTATTTACGTAAGTATATTGTTTATCTACTTAAGTATGAGCTTTGACATTTTATCACCTATATGTTAAAAAGTCAATGAAAATAGGAAATCTCAAAGAATTATTTTTTTTAATGTCTGGACTCATCCAAAAACCTCTATGTCTAATTCCATTGGCAATTACAGCAACCGTCTACATGATGAGCTCACGAAGCTTGGTGTCCCCTCTACTCTGATACTGGATTCTGCAGTTGGGTAGGTATTTCTCTCAAAAACATCAACATAATCACTCTAGGTTAGATCGAATGATCCCCTCTGTAACAGAGTTTCTCTCATAGTGACACTTTGAAAACAGTGTTTATGCCTTATTCATAACTACTGATAATAGAATAAAATCACCTTTTAAGGGGAGAGAAGACTGCAGTTCATTAATATGCATGATATGCATGCATCTTTTACAGGCGCTGAGCTATTAAGGTGAACATCATGATGGGAGTCCTATGAGTCGCATATGTTGGTCATTTCATATGTTTATCTTTGTATATTTTTCTTTTACAGTTATGTGATGGAAAAAGTTGATATGGTCCTAGTAGGAGCAGAGGCAGTTGTAGAAAGTGGAGGCATTATAAATAAAGTAAGTGGGGAGTCCTTTTATAAATCAGGGGCTTGGATTGAAATGGGATTACTTTTGTAATCTAGAGGCTCAGGATTTCTAGGGGTATTTGGAATCCTTTAGTATTATGTTCACAACCATGGACACATTTATTTTTATTCATTTACTTTTTAGAATTAGTTAATCAACAGTAATTTATAATGTTCACCAACTCCTGGTGTTTAGTTGTTGTTGCCAAAATTGTTGGGACCAAAAAATGTTCAAATCCAAACTTCATTCAAGGGCCTATATTATCAACAAATGACAGGTCCCTTATTTTGACTTGCTGTAGATGTAAAGTTAAACCTGTATATCTGAACACCTCTCAACACGACCACTTTTCTATGTTATCTTCCATTGGCTCATTAAAGAGAGAATCAGATATAGGGGTACAACGTATTGTGAATCTTTTGGGAGATATTGTATTTGATATTGTAAGGAATAGATAAGTAGGTCAATTATACATGTTGCTCGTAATTTTGTCTGCCTTTAACCAATTTTGCAAATCGTTACACTTTTTCCACTGTTCAGAGTAGACAGGTTCTTAGACTATGTTTCATGTTTCAGATTGGCACATACACAATGGCAATATCAGCCAGGGAGATGCACAAACCTGTCTATGTGTTAGCAGAGAGTTTCAAATTTGCAAGAATCTATCCACTAAATCAACAAGATGTACCAGACCAGTTCAAGGTAAATACATCCCCCCCCCCTTCTTGGTAAAACCTCCCTAGTTTTCTCAAATGTAAACCCCCCATCCGCACTCTGAAATCAGGGGACCATACGGAACATTTATTATACAATTTGAGTATGGTTCAGTGTTCACGGTACTGTATGGTACTATTTTATTCTACAATATCCTTTGGTATCATATATAACAACACCATGAATCACCGTCGCAAAAATGGCACCATAATGTACTTTTGGAGGCTATGTAAACAAAATAATACAATATTGCCTGCTTGTGTTTACTTCACTTCTATGCTTGTCAATCAAATTTGCAATTTTAATACTTAGTTGCCAAAATACACCTTTTAGCCTTTTTGCCAATCAAGTAATAAATAAAATATCACTGTGTGTGCAATTCATGGATATTTATACTTTCTGTAAAAATGAGAGAAATAGAAATTGCTTCGGTTAAGAGAAACATGTGTAATGTTATGGTTCAACCTAAATATTTGACTTTATCTGCTTCCTGTTCAAATGCATGTAAAAGATTGTGTAACTAAAACTGGGATTTGATCATTTTGTCCAATTTTTTATGTGTCTTAACCACCTTACTAATGTAGTGAAACTTGATAATAAGTTGCTACTACAGTCTCAGCTGTAGTGGCTAGCCCTTATGGAGGTAGACGATTGGTCTTTTCCCAATTCCCATGTGGGGCATTGAAATTAGCACCCTCCGTTTCATGTCCAGTATCTGGCGTGTCACACTAAACGAGACGAGCATCCTCGGGTGTCGGTCAAACCACTTATAATAAATCCATTACTTTACTTGCAGTACCCGAGTAATGTACTCACTGGCCAAGTGGATCTGAACTCTGAGCACCCTCTGGTGGACTACACGCCCCCTGCATACCTTTCCCTTTTAGTCACCGATCTGGGGGTGCTGACCCCCTCAGCTGTTAGCGATGAACTTATCAAACTTTACTGCTAGGTGAAATAAGTACATGGACACGGATTGAAACTCATCTGCCTGTCTACCAATGGCAATTATTTTTCACTCTGCAATGGACTTGGAAAAATTGGGTACTTAGTATTGGGCATTGGACTGAAAGTCAAATTAAATTGTGGCAATAATGTTGTCAACCTTAGTAGTGAACCATCTCATCTACATGGTTGCATTTATGAACAATGATCTGTGCTATAATTACTGTAAAACATGTCAAGTAGACAACTGTTTAACTTGAACACCTTTGTATGTGGAGCATGTCCAGAGACCTTTTGACTTATATTATACAGCCTCTAAGTGGAACATTTTTTCCAAGACACAATGGTTTTACTACATGTGCAGAATCAGTACTAAGTAAGTATTAAATACCTACTACTGTATTCAGTCGCCTTGATAGTATTAAAAAATTGTTGAGAGTAAAAAGTTGAGATTTTAAAATGTCTAACAGCTCTTACGAGGAAGTTTCAAATCAACACATAATAATGTACATGTACTTATAATTTATTGCATTTATAACATAGAATAAATGTTGTCATGAATATACGTCTTTGTTTCAAGTTATTGTTTCCTGTAGGTAGTACCAACAGATTGATGTTGGGGTGTTCAATAAGTTTTGATAACAAACCTTTAAATGTACGATCAAACAAAATATGATTTCTTGATAATTGTTTCCCTGTACCACATAAAAAGTTGATTTTTAGACAAAATGTAATTATCCCACCGAACGAAGTTCAAGGGGGATATAGGAAAGCTGTCCGTTCGCCCGTCTGTTTGTCTGGACGATAACTCAAATACATACGTTGATGCCTTGGGACAAAGGAGCTATGCCGAAGACACGCCTAACCATGGACAACGTACAGTGACAAAGAATACCGTAATACACTTTAGATATACGGTGTCACTATTAACGATCATTTCTGATTTTTTAAAATACATGAATATTTATTAATTGTGTAGTTTAGAGAAACATATTGTCATAAAAATATTCGACACTCTTAGATGACAGGGGAGAAAATGATCAAAGGAAATGTGTAAAAAACAACATTTTCCAACCGACCAATTATATGGGTAGTCTAACCACAAAAAATCGAGCACTGTTCGAAAATCTTTTTACATTACTAGAAAGTTAAATGTCTTCCTAAACGAATACACACGAAATCAAACATGAAATCCTAAATGTATTCCTCAGATAATTTTTTTAAAACCTACATCAAACTTACATTATTGTCTTTGCTTCAAGTCGGTTAATAGTGACACGATACATCTAAAGTGTACGACGGCGTATCTTGTATTTTGTAAAAAATGTAATCTTTGACAACTCAAATACCAGTGAACGGATTTGGTTCAAATTCTATATAATGATGCCTATGAACAAAGTAGATTTGTTCAAGAAAGAATTTTCAAGACGGCGGCTGAATTTCAAAATGGCCACCATTTTTCATAAAAACGTAATTTTTGATAACTCAAATACTAGTTGACAGTTTTGGTTCACATTTTATATGCTGATGCTTAGGGACAAAGGAGCTAAGCTGAAGAAGAGATTTTGAAAATTGCTGCTAAATATCAAAATAACGGCCACTTTTGGAAAAAACATGATGCTTAGAGACACAGTACATCTGTTCGACAAAGAATTTCCAAGATGGCAGCTGAATTTTAAAGTGACTGCCATTTTCGTAAATAAAACGTAATCTTTGATAACTAAAATACTAGTTCACGGATTTGGTTCAAAGTTTATATGCTGATGCCTAGTGACTAAGGACCTTCGCTGAAGAAGAGATTTTGAAAATGGCTGCTAAATTTCAAAATGTCGGCCATTTTTCATAAAAAGACGTAATCTTTGATAACTCAAATACCAGAAAACAGATTTGGATCAAATTTTATATGCTCATGCCTAGGGACACAGAAGTTCTGTTCAAGAGATTTTCAAAATGGCGACTGAATTTAAAAATGGCTGTCACTTGTCGTAAAAAGGAATGTAATCTTTGATAACTCAATGTTAATTGACCGATATGGTTCACAAAAGGAGGGAATTAATATGATGTAATACTGGTTTTATTTAATTATTTTGTAGTGCTTCAGTTCAGTTTTAATACAGTTGATCAAGGATCCAGGTAGAATTCAAAACCAGTTTGATTTCAAATAAATGTTGTGAATAGAAAACTGTTTTTGTAATTAGATCCTAAATATGAAGGATTTTAACGACATTGCATTTTTCAAAAAAGATTAAGTGACCTCAGGGCAGTCTATAGCCATTTATTCTTTCTATTCAAATCTTTTCTAAAGCACACATCAATTAATGTTATGCTCTTTACCCCAGCTTTTGGTACATCATACAAATGATACTCGCTTTTTATAATTTTAAGATTTCTGAAGTTTATTTTCAATATATGAAAGCAACCACAGTGAAGCAAATAAAAATAGACTTGAATCTGCTAAATATTCAATTCAACTAGCACTGTGATATACTTCAGTATGGATGATAAAACAAAGCAAGTAAGTACCATTCTGATTCTTAATCAATGCACTGTGTATATTAGTACAATAACGTCACTTCGAAGGGCAATATAGTGAAATATTGGACCGACTATATTGCCTGCAGACTGAAACATCAAGAAAATCTTATGCACTGAACGATATCTAATTTCCTGGGGAAAATTACCGGTCATGCACTGTGTATATTATTACATCATGTTTTATTGTGTTTAATGTTTAATTTATATTTCATATATTCTTCACTGCCTTAATAACTTTGAATGTAATGCAAACACTAAGATGTAATGACCAATAATCAGCTTCCTTTCATTTATTGGTGATGTAAATGTCCCATATAAAGTTTAAACCACCAGGAATTACTCAGATGCTAGTAGGTAGTTACCAGTTTCGTCACCAGGTGGCTGATTCGGGGGAAATAACATGGCAGGGTATTACAAAGTTCCCTTAATCTTGAATATTCATCAGTTTTAGTGGTTTACTAAATCATATTACCCTTGTGTACCAAATTAAAATATGTCTAGTAAAGGAAAATATTATCTGCCCAACACAAGAAAAGATATTTCACTTTTTGCGTTTTTTTTGTAAATCATGTTTACAAGTGCTTATTATACATCTTGAGTTGTATTGATCCATTAGGTGCGACTCGGTCACTGGGGAGTATCGTGATGCAACAACACCGTGTTGTTGCATCAAGATGGCCAGACTTCCGGTGATAGATTTTCGTACGATATTTTGTTTCCCCAATTAAACCCATTTCTAGGACGAGTTGCTCAATAACCATACACGTGCAGTTAGCGCACGATCTATATTTAAAGAAACTGTCATTAGTATACATGTACCATCACCAAGAAGCAATAACTTCACGGTTTTAGTTCCTCACTATTGATGCAACAACACCAAACCGAAGATGCAACAACACTCCTCTAGATTTGAGCAATGATGCAGCAACACCAATTAATAGTATAATTTCAGAAGACCATAAATCTCGAGAGGAACAGATTTTTAAATGCTACTATTGCAAAACCGTTACCCATTACCCATATTTGCGTTCTTCTCAAGGCTTTCAAAATACACGTCATGCGGGCAAAGATCCTTTATATGTTTTTTCAAAAATTTATACTTTTAAATATTATAATGTACTGGACGTTGTTCTATAACATAGTTCAATCGCCTTTAACAGGGCAAGCTTTAGTAACCCAATCTATTTTCATAAACCACTGTTCCATAGCTTGATGACCCTGACTCCAGTTAGTATCATTCAAAATGGTGGACAAACATCTTTCGTTCTCGATAAACATGATGAGCTATTGGAAATTATCTGTCATCCATCTGTGGAACAGTGATAAACTAGTAGATGTACGTTACCACTGTTTATCAAATTATAACTAAAACAGTTTAACTGTGACATTCGTGAGCTTATGTTGATGGGATGATTGCTTCATCTATGATATAATATGATATGATTCTGTATTTCCTCCAATTTGGAGAGCCAACGTGTAAAAACGTCTAATTGACTTTATTAGAGAGGCCGTTTAGTTACACGTTTAATGGAAATCTTGCACGACGCACATGTAGAATTATTGATCTCTTTGGATTCCTTTTCTCCGACTGTGTAAAAAGGTAAACAAAAGTGATAAGATTAAGGGGCCAAAAAGGTAAATTGATAGGGGTACAGTTATTCCAGATATCCCGGGCCCTCGGGAAATATCATATTGTCTCTCGGAATAAAACCAATATTGAATCCCTCTCAGTAAATAACCTTTATATAATAGCATTGTATAACTGCAATATCATTAAACCAACACTCATCCTATACAATTCTTGAGAACTATGTACAACTCCTGGATAGCGTAAACTCCTGAGCAGCGTATACAACTCTTCAACTTGATATATGACATCATACTTTGGGTGGGATAACAAAGGATATACAATATACAATTGTAGACCTCTCTTGAGGTCAACTGGCAAAATTGTATACCGATACTGTAATCCTTGAAAGTTCGGAGGTCGAGGTCAACAGTACTCTCAGGGTTTACTGTTGAGGTATACACTTTTGCCAGTTGACCGAAAAGAGAGGTTAACAATTGTTCTGTTAGTCCAAATAATATAATAATTGGACGAATATATAATCGAATATCACGTGAACATATTTGATAAGTAAAGGTATCATATTTTAGCAAAAAATCCCCAAACCATCGAATACTTGTAATTTTTTACACAACTTATTTTTTCAAAATTAAAAAAAATTCAACATTAAAAAACAATTTTTCAAAAATAGGGGTCATCAGTACCTAGTAGTGGTCAACAGTTTACAATTGTTGACCTCCCCAGAGGTCAACCGGCAAAATTGTATACCGAGACTGTAAACCGAAAAACTACTGTTGACAGAGACCGAAGGTCGATGTCAAAGTAGTTTCAAGGTTTACAGTCGAGGTATATGATTTTGACGGTTGGTCGAATGGAGAGGTCTACAATTGTTTTGTTAGTCGGAGTAAACTAATAATACACATATAGACGACAATCATTAATCGAACCACGTTTGCAATATTTTTTTTAGAAAATCTGGATACAGTGCAAGTAGCTTAACTCTGTATTTGGCACATCACGGCGTACTCGTTAGTGAATTAATGTTAATTTTAAGTTTCTACTTGTATTTTTGCTATACTTGTCGCCTAGTAAAGTCATTTTCATTAACGTTTACAAAATGTCCGTCTTCCATGTTTTTTTGTGACGTCATGAAACTTTTTTTCAGAAGTAGCGGTCAACAGTACCTAGTAGCGGTCAACAGTACATAATTTTGACCGTTAATCACCCAATCA